TTGGAGCTTATTTTTCTACTGCATTTAGCGCTGCATTCCATCTCTGAAGTAGGTGCTGCCATCTCTTATGAAGATTAGAAATCAGAGCGCGCAAGGTTTAGTTTACTGGCTAGCACCGTGCGAAAAAAAAAAAGCAGGCAGACATTATGTTTAGTGCGGTGCAGCGTTTGTAGATGGCGTTGATGTTTGTGATAAAGAGATTGGATCGATTTAACTTGCCTGAGTTATGACAAGCAACTGTTAGGTACTGCACTTTTGAGGTTATGGTAAACATTCACTATATGATATGAGTGTGTTTTCACTGGGAGAACCGATGCATACATTCGCGCAATGTGAGTCACAGGAACCAAGTTCAATCCAAGTATTAATGCTGGCAAATTCACTACCAGAAAGCAAAAACAGTCACTGTCACTATTGTAAGTAAATTCTGCATTAGTACGTAATTCTGTCTTGCACTTATATAGTTATTAAATAGGCAGATGAAAGTTCTTCTTCCGGAGGAATGTTTTGTTTGCAAATACACTTTTTTTACACTTAAAAATATTTTTTATCTTCAGATAGTACAAACGCAGTGTTTAACATTATGGATATGTCGGCAGATATTCTATAACAGCCCTTTTCTTGTTCCACGGGGCTGTAAAAAGCAGCACCTCCACCACTCCTAGATTTAGAGCCGTCTGTATATATTTTATACCACCCATTATACTTATCGTTTATCTCGCTTAAAACATCATTCTTTAAAATGTTAATATCATGATTGCTTTTTGGGCCCTGTACACTATTTAAGTTAGGTAAAATAATGTCAACATCAATATATGACATCCAAACGTTGAGTGAAAACATTTCAAGTGGGTAGGAAGAGGATACTATACTATCTTTGGTTAAATCAATTGTTTGAGCAAGTAGAGGTAACCTTTTACGTCTCCAATATCTGTCTGTGGAATGATCATAAAGATTTTTCAACAATTTCGTAGTGACATTATTGGACCATGATCGGGCCTTCAGGCAATATTTAAAAGCTAGATACTGTCGTCTCAAGTATAAAGGTGGTATACAGAGCTCGCTCTCCATTACATGGATGGGGGAGCTTTTAATAAATCCCCCAATAATTCTAAGCGCTTGGTTTTGGAGTCTGTCTAATTTTAATAAATTCGTCCTAGCGGCACCGTCATACAAAAAACACCCATAATCAAGCCGGCTTCGGATAATTGCAATATATAGTTTTCTTAAGTACTTGGGGTGGACACCCCAGCCTGATCCTGCCAATATTTTTAAAATGTTTAAGAATTTTATAGCTTTTTCATATACCTCATTAATGTGTTTCTTCCACAGAAGTGACCTGTCAAGCCAAATGCCCAGATACTTAATACATTCAGATGCACTTATTGTATCTCCTTGGATGTTTAATAGAATTTGTGTTTGCCGAAATCCCCTACTAAAAAGGCAAGATTTAGATTTACACGCCGAAAGTCTTAGCCCAAGTTCCTCCAATAAAATTGACATTATGTTTATAGCTGTTTGAATATTATCTCTGCAGTGCGATAAGTCCTTGTGACTGAAATATAATACAAAGTCATCTGCATATTGACAGATAGCCACGTTTCTAATTTCTCGGCAAATGCTAGAAGTTACTATATTGAAAATAAGGGGCGACATAGGGTCCCCTTGGGCCAGGCCTCGACTTGTACATCTGATGATATTTATGTCTTCAGAGTTATTATTTATTTTAAGATATCTTTGACTCAAAAATGCATATAGATATTTACAGACTCTTGCACCTACATTCAATGTATCCAGTATCTTTACAGCTTTTTCAACCAATACATTATTATACGCATTTTCTATGTCTAAAAAGCAGGCTAAGGTAGTTATATTTTTTGAGTAACCTAATTGTATATAGGTAATGAGACGTACTAGGGAGTCAATACAAGATTGTGCCTTTCTGAAGCCTGTAGAGTTTTGGGATATAATATTGTGTTTTTCCACATACCACTCTAGTCGTTTCGTTATCATGATATGGAATATCTTACACGTGCACGATATCAAGGATATGGGTCTTAATTTAGGCACTGAACCTGGGTCAGAAGACGGTTTTGGGATAGGTATAATCTTAATATTTCGCCATTGTCTAGGTACAATTCCTGTGCGGAATATATCATTATATAAGCTTAACAATAAAGTTAGAGCGTCGTTAGGCAGATTGTAAACCATAGAATATGTTATGCCATCCTCACCGGGAGCAGTATCCTTTTTTTTTCAAACAATGTTTTAGTTCTTGCATCAGAAAGTTTGACTCTAACAACGAGTTACTGGAATAGAACTCGGGTTGCGACTCAACAACAGTGTCAGGCGCGAGAGAGCATAGAAGTTCCTCCAGTTGGTCTTTAGATACGTGATGATTAGGTTGTCGCCAACCCTTAATCCAACGCATTCGTCGCCACATATCAGTCACAGAGCTCGACTCGCCTATATCGCTACAAAATTTTTGCCATGACTGGGATTTCGCCTTTCTTATGAGTTTCTGACTTTCTGTTATTTTATTTTTTAAAATTTGTAAATTATTAGGGGTAGGGTTACGTCGAAAATTTTTTAATGCTAGTCTACGTTGTGCTACTATTTGTGATAATAATGGACTCCAGTACTCTTTTGGTTTAAATTTTCGTTGGGGGTTACTACACAGCTTAATTAGAGGGATGTTATTATCTGCTGCTTGAATGATTAGTTTTTCAAAAAGATCATATTTATCTTGTATATTATTATCAAGGCTAGTAAAACTATAATTGGTCAAATATATGGATATATCGTTCTTATAGGCCTCCCAGTCAGCTAATTTAAAGTTTCTTTTTTTTGTGAGATTTGGAGTATCTTCATAGGTGATTGACATTTTAATAATTAGATGATCACTACCCAGATTTTCGTTAGTCGTTAAAGTTAGCAGCTATATCGGACGAAACGAAAGTTATATCAGGAGAGGATGCTTGCAGCAATTGATCAACCAATTTTATCCTCGTAGGGTGGCCACTGTTTAGCGAGATAAAGCTGTTTTCTAGAGCCGAGTCAAATATTTGTGTGCCTCTTAAGTCATTTTTATTGGACCAGTTGGTGTGGTGTCCATTAAAATCACCCGCTATAATAGTTTTGTCTTGAAATTTTGAAAATAAAGTATCCCAATCGATCTGTGATGTACGTACTGAAGGAGAAACGTAAACTGATATAACATATTCGACATATTTACAATTCATTATTTTAATACATACAACCTCTATACCCGAATTACTAGTATTAATGGGATAACGGCGTGTCTGAAGGGATTTATGCGCTATTATAGATACTCCACCGTAGCCATCATACTATCCTTTCTATAGATGTTGTACTTACTTATTTGTAGCGGAGATTCCTCTTCCAGCCACGTTTCACTAATTATGGCTAAATGTACTTTTTCCTGATCCAGGAGTGCATTGAACATAGATAATTTCGGTCTGAGACTTTGTGAATTCCACTGCATTATATTAACACCGGAAATGTATACAGTACTACCCATTAAAAAGTTGCATTATACATTGAAATAAATCACCACCTGTTACAATATTCAAAATAAATGTTTTAAACTCATCATATAACATACGAAATATAGACATATTTTTTTTTTCCAAATCCAAATTAGATAAAAGTATCTCTTTCAGTTTTAACAGTAATTTTTTAAGCTCAAATTTTTTGATTCTTCTTCTTTTTAGTTCTTCTTGTAGGTTGTCGTCTTGATTCTGCTTATCTTGGTTTTCATAACTCGTCTCATAATCACCAGTGTTGTCAGTGAGATTCTCTTGAGTTTTATTAATTCGTTGTTTAACATTTTTCCTATCATTTATTTGTGTTCGCTGGACAGACGGGGTAGGTATTTGCTCTCGAGATCTTTGCATTTCAATGTTTCTGCAAGTGGCCAGCTCTTCTCTATGATCAATAACATTGGTAAGACCTTTTGAAACTACACTACTATATGTTTTGCTGCTGATTAGAGTTTGATTCTGTAGTATAGGTGACTGAGTGGCTACAAATTCATTTGTAAAAGAGGTAGTGTTGTTCATCTCTTCTTTATCTAATATAATTTGTAGGGCCATGCGATATGTCACATTCTGCTGGCTCATGATGCTACGAATTTTCTTCTCTTTTATAAATATAGGGCATGATTTGTCTAGTACAATATGAGAGCCTCTACAGTTCAAACACTTTATATCTTTTAATTCACAATTTTCATGATTTTGTCCACATTTTGGGCACCTGGACTGTTTAGATGGGCAAAACCTTTTTGAGTGTCCAAATCTCCAACAACCAGAGCATTGAGTGACCGGGAAAACGTACGGCTCGACTTTAAATCTGCACCCGAAAGCGAATATACAGGGTGGAAACGATAAGTGATCTCACTCGATTATTTCTAAACTATACAAGATATCGAAAAACTGATTACTGATCCTGAAAGTGCTTCACGAGCTCTTTCAAACGATATCAGTAATAGGTTACACAATTAACTGGATCTATCCGAAAATTCAATGTTTTCAGCCTCCATACTAAATGTATGCCACTATAAAAAAAAGGTAAAAAAAGGTAAAAAAGGTATTTAAATCAAATAAGAGAGTAGTTGTATGTGGAGATTTTAATATAGATTTATTAGATAATACTCAATATAAAATAAGATTCTTAAACCTTTTTAAATCTTTTAATTTATCAAATCTTTTCAATGAGCCTACTAGAATCACTCCAACATCAGCTATTTGCTTAGATAACATTTTTGAAAGTTCTTCTTCCGGAGGAATGTTTTGTTTGCAAATACACTTTTTTTACACTTAAAAATATTTTTTATCTTCAGATAGTACAAACGCAGTGTTTATGTAGTGAGCGCCCTCTGGCGAAAAAAAAAATTGCTTGCTGCAGGGTGTTTCTTACTTTTTAGTCGCAATGGAGGGTGTATCTTAATTTTTAGTCGTGCTGGAGAAGATGTTTCTTACCTTGGCAGTGACGTGCGAGCGGTAGGAAGCGAGCACGAGGTCGGCCATGTTGACGAGCGAGCGCGAGTAGGTGGGCCTGGCCGCGTTTTCCCTCGCGGAGTAGTGCATTATAGACTTTAATGGGCTGATAATTCAGCTCGATATGCTTTGACAGTTCTGTTACCTTGGCAGTGACGTGCGAGCGGTAGGAAGCGAGCACGAGGTCGGCCATGTTGACGAGCGAGCGCGAGTAGGTGGGCCTGGCCGCGTTTTNATCGATGTTTTCTTCCAATACATCGAAAGAAATCGATGTACAGTTTCGATATATCGAATCGAAAAAAACATCGATGTTTTTTCAAAGTGGACACCCCTAAAATGAAATGAAAAATGAACATTGAAAGAAAGAAGGAAGGTGAACGAATTATGAATGAATGAGTGACTGACAAACTGACAGCTGAGCATAGACAAGACAGAGCCCCGATTACGGTATTTTTTAACGTCAACAATCCAGACACGCTTCTCGATTCTGCGATACGATTGGTCGTTCAACAGCGTACGTCAGTTGTTTTGACCAATCGTATCGCAGAATCAGAAACGCGTCTGGATTGTAGACGCTATAAAAGTTACCGTAATCGGGGCTCTGAGCTTATAAGTCATTCATTCATTCAACAACAAAAGACTGACTCATTCATTTGCTAGGGATGTGCATTCGCTTTTATCTAAATATCGATAAATATCCAATAAGTTTATTTGTTTTTATCTACCAATGTCAAGTGACCCAGAGCCGTAAAATAAAATATAAAAAAATAATGTCATGCGTGTCATGCTTCGACGTCTTGTCTTGCGTCAAAAAAGTGAAAATTGTTTCTTGTCGCAAGTTGTGTATTTTATTTTTTAAATTAAATTAATGCTATCAAGCTTTTAATTAGATGTTTTACGTTTTATTAACTGGTTGTATATTTAAGTATTTCTTAACTTGTAGCAGGAAAATCCTCTGAGAGTTACTTTTAAAGAAGATATCCTGGAATCTATCTTGAGATCGTAAAAATAATAACACATTTTAGAAGCACGTAGAAGCACGCAGGTTTTACTGAAATCTACAATGGCTACAAGAAAGCGTAGTGGTTCTGGATCAAAGAGACATTTGAAGGAGAAAGTGGTACAGATATACGAGTCGTTTTTTAGAGGCGAAGACCTGACCAGTGATAACCCCACTTTCTGGGATGAATTTTTCCTCCTCAAACCAAAGATCCCTCAACTTGAAGCTGAAATCCACAAGTTATCAGTGGAACAGCTCAACAATATGAAAGATAGTATTAATTTATTAGTCACACAGTGTATAGAAATGCTAGGACAAGAACACCATATAAGGTACATGTCCAATTAGTTAATGAATACACTTTTCAAACTAGACTATCTGCATAAATAATTTGTCAATTAAATTTTTTGCAGGCTTGTTTATGCCCTTCAAACATTGAGTGCACTCCTCATTACTATGTACCAAAGGGCAAGTCAAGACTCCAATGTAAACATTAAAACCCTACTTATAGGAACAGAGAATGCTGATATGAAAATGCAGAAGTTATTTGAACACTGCAGTACTATATTGTCAGGTATAAAATGGTATTGCTTCTGTTGCTGTTTGAATGATTTCATAAGTGATTATTATCTTGATAAATTTGTGGAAACTAAGGGAATGTATGGGTTCCCATTCTATCCTAATTATGTGGTATTTAAAGAGAGGTGTAGAGAAACTTGATAGTAAGTTTAGGGAGTACAATAAAGGGAAGTATGATCAAAACTCTGTTATTGAAACTTCTATTAGGAGGGTGAAAATGTGTATATTTAGATATTCTCATAATGAAAAATCTTATGCATTTTCCAGGTGATGTGCCTGAGAGCTTGAAATCAATGGTATTGAAGTTATTGCTGATAATAGCCACTGGGCTTGACAACATTGATGACAATGTCTTGGTTGATTATTTAATGCAAAATTCCTTATTTGAGCCATTAATCCAATTACTTTGCACATCGACTGAAAGACAACAACATGGTGAGCACAAATAATGTTCATTATTTATTTATTTAACTATGAGAAAACTGCTTTGTTTAATTATTGTACTTATCTTTAATTCTTTTTCAATTTCAGGCTATGATGTTGTGATTCTGTTAATGTTTTTGGTGAACTACAAAAAACAGGAGTCTGCCAACCCATATGTAGTAAAACTATCAATTCTTGATGATGAACTGGCTTTGAATGGGTAATTATCAGTTATCAATATTCATTATAATATTAGGAGAAACTAATTTGACTGTTGAAAAGATAAAAAAGGACTGTTTACAAATTAAGTTCAAATGTAACTATTACTTAATATTAGATTATTTTATGCATTTCTGAGTGTTAATTTATTTATTCTTCCATTGTTATCAGGTATGGCCAAGTTATAACTGCAACATTGAATGATTTCGTGATGTCTGCGTTCGGCGGCTTGCAAGGCGGCGGCGGCGGAGGCTGGCTCTCCTCTTTAACCAGCATGGTGGGAGGCATATTCCTAGCCAGTGATGAAACACAGCCAGTGGTTAGGGGGCAGAGAAACAGGTAAAATGCCCTCGTTTTCATTACTTTACATTTTCACTGTAACTGTAAGGGTTTGGATTACAGCGACAAATAGGGCGCCGACGGCGGCGACAAAATCTTCATACAGATTTAAATAAAATGTTACACTATTTGCAATTGAATATTGCTGCTGCTAATCACCAGACACAAGTCTTTATGTATTCATTTAGAGCTCTAAGTGTAGATCACACTTAGAACTAGTCAACTAATTTATAATAGGGTCACTTATTGCTATCGAGGGTCAGACAAACCTTTATTCCACTTAACTCTAAGCATATCCATTTGTTATGAATGTGTACTAAGTTCTGTGATTTTCTATTCATAATTTTGATTACTAATTTTTAAAGTAGCGAAGACGATAAATTGTATTTATTTCATAGTGGCGGCGAGGAAGGCATGCTATTGGCGCTATACGAGGCGGCGCATTTGAACCGCAACTTCATGACGACTCTCGCGCACTCGTCTTCAGCCGCCGCGTCGTCGGCGCCGCCGTCGCCGCCTGCCACGTTACCACCACACCAGGTATACACTACAGATCAACTTTGTGGCACTTTATGTAATTGTAATGCGTGCTAATATTACGCGCAATTATTATACTTGATCAATATTACCATAAAGATAAACATGACTATCATTAATCACAGTCTTCTTGTGTTACTTGTTTTACAAACATTTTTCGTATCTGGCTGTAATTAAGTATCAAGAACAAGATATTAAGAAAGTGTACAAAAGATCATCATTTTTTACCACCTTTTATTTCCATTTAGAAAACAGTACAAAATTAAGGCTTAAACAAAAAATACCACATGGACTCAAAATATAAAAATGTGCTACTTTTTATGACCTTCCTTTGTTCTATACAAATCATAATATAATTATCACCATTTACCTACCACTTTTGACAAATTCATAAAATGAAAACAATAGAACATTATCTAAGCTCATTGTATTATTATTACAATATTGTTTCCGTATGGAAAACATGATACAAAATTAAGCTTGTACAAAAAATACCATCCAAAAAGGTACTTAAAGTATAAAAACGTGCTACTTACTTAATGACCTTCCTTTGTTAATCTAATCTATACAAATCCATCAATCATCATAATATACTTATCACCTATTACCAGTTTTGGCAAACTCTTTTTCAATGACTAATACCTACTTAACAATGCAATTAGTACAATAGAACATTATCTAAGCTGTTTATAATAATTATAGTATAATAAGTATTTGTATTTTTGGGAAATCATGGAGTAAGTACCCTTTAAAGACCACATGTTTTTTGTATGGATATAAGAAGTGGTAAAAAGTAACAAACCTTTCTATTGTCGGCGTTTGTTTGATTATATTTATTTTATGATTTTAATGATTTTNGGGGGGTCTAAATTAGAGTGAGAGGCAAATAGGTTTTCTCGCTCTAATAAAAGTAAATAAATATCGGGGTGCCATCCGGACCCAGTCAGTTCCGCGTTTTCTCCTCAACAAGCTACAACACCAAGCTCTCGCCACTGCTCCGAGGAACCGGTCTCAACCACCACAACCAGCGTTATTATTTCTGCGCTCCCCGCCCCCTTCGTCTCGCTCTCCCGCTCGCGCTGCACCCCGCATCGCGCCGTGTCGGCGTACGGTATTCAGGGTCCGCACAGGGTTGCTACCCCATACCGTCCGGCACATTTTTAAATCTTTTAATTTATCAAATCTTTTCAATGAGCCTACTAGAATCACTCCAACATCAGCTACTTGCTTAGATAACATTTTTTGTAACTGTAATATTCAAAGTAAATCAATAATTAATTGCCTTAGTTCAGATCATAGTGGACAATTGGCCACATTTGAACACCATCATGTCCCTAGTACAGTGGATGTTGTTTGTAGGCCAATAACAACTAACCGAATTAACAAATTTAAGAAAAATATTTGTGATGGTATTGATAAACTTATATTAGATGACAATAATGTTGATCACATTTATGAGGATCTATTCAGTGTTGTGAGTGAGGAATTCAAAACCACATTCCCACAGAAAAAGATCCGAATAAATTCTGTTAAATGTAAATTTGACGACTGGGCTACAACCGGCATTCACAAGAGTAGAAATAAAATGTATGAATTATATAGTCTTAAAGCCGATACGCAAGATCTGAATGTTATAGAATATGTTAAAAATTACTCAAAAATATTTAAAAGGGTTTGTTTGGCTGCTAAATCAAATCATCTTCGAAATCCGCAAAAATATAGAGCAATTCACGAAAAAGAGCGATTTGCATAACTTTAATACAAGAAACAAAAATAAACTTGCCGTTCCAAATTTCAGATTGCATAAGATTGGTAATTCATTTATGGGAAAATGTATTAAATTCTTTAATAAATTACCACAAACTGTTGTAGAACTACCCATTCATAAATTCAAAGCACATATTAAAAGTACCTTAATGAAAAAGGGCTACTATAAAGTCGATGATTATTTAAAAGATAAAAATGTTTGGGATACTTTACTGCCTAGCTCGCATAAATATTTATAACTTTGTACATTTTAAAGCATGTAAACCTTTGAAAAAGAGGCTGACAATAGTGACTGAGTTTCTTGCGCTGCTTCTTCTCAGCACTGGCCCATTTATTGTCCTGAAGCAGTGGTAGGGTTAATACTGGGACGTGTAAAAGTGCTTTTTTTAAGCCTATTTACAGAAATAAATGAGTTTTATGAGTTTTTTATGAGTTTTATGAGTTTTGTGCATATTCTTATAATAAACATTGTTAATAACTTAAGTGACATTTTATCTCGAAACATTAATCAACTCGGAATACTTTTAAAGTTTTATTTGTTAAAAGACCACGGAACCTCATGACTGTCGTAATTAACATGATTTAGGAATTTGGAATTAATTACTGGAAAGGGGTACAGTTATTTCAGCAGTTAATATTTATTTGTAAATAGGAATAAGTATGTATACTTACATGTAATAAAGAATGTTCATTGTTTATTTGTCGGTTAAATTTAAAACCAATAAAACATCCGATATCATAACAAATAGAAAACGTAATGTCGAAGTAAAGTTTGTCGGAGTTTACTTAGGTAGCCGTGCAGTAGAAGGGATGACCCGCAAAACTTTGCAGGAGATTTCAACATTCGTGGATAGGATATCGACCAGCGCGACAACCAACACTTTTTATTAACTTCCCTGACATGAATGTCTGACTTTATTTCTTTTCCACCTTCTAGAGCCCACCAAACTTGGCGCAAATACAAGCTCTGGACAATGAACAGCCTACCAATCTTCTTGTTACATTTTTCCAATATTGGTAAGTTTGTAATTTGTGGTAACTTAAAGTTGGCTTATTCCACTATTCCCCATTGACAATCCCCGTCGACGGGGATTAGTGAACTTTTTGTTCAGGGATTGTCAACGGGGAATAGTGGAATAAGCCTTTTAAAGGGCGGTTAAAGTTTATAATGCGAATTTTTTAATCATGGGAGTCGTCTCTAGATCTATGCTTAATTAAACATACTTTTTCAGTTCAATAGTAATGGCAGACACGAGGACTGAAGCCAGCATAAACAAATGCAGTTTATGCTTCATTACACTCACCTGTATAGTGGAGGAACAGTTCGCCAACTCAATAATGCATGACCAAAATCTAACTTTTAAGGTAAAATATTTTTAAAAGGATTGTCAAATAACTGCAGCATTAATATACTTAGCACAAAATTTATTTGGTTATCAGGTTCAACTGTACAGACTTCCAATGCGTCATAGAAAAATAGTCCCTGAGGAACCACCCTCACAGCCATTAGCTTCAACATTAATTGGTAAGTTAAAAAAAAACAATTTTTAAGAATCTAGATTTGTTATTTTAATTTGAAGCACGAATTCGTTATTAGTCGTATGATGTGCGCATGTTCCTCGTGCTACTAAGGTGTAGGAGTAGGTACACCCAATCAGCCTTGTCACATTTTTACATCACGGTCATAAGCGTTCTATGATGTGATCACCTTTTTTAAAGGGCTACTTCCGCGCCTACTGGCCCCTTCTAGCTATGAGATGGGTATCTACGCCCATACGCCACGTGGGCGCGGGCGGGGTACATAGCTCGTAGAGCTGATGGCCGCTGGGGCAGGAAAGTTCTTGAGTGGTGACCACGAGCCGGAAGACGTAGCGTGGGCAATCCTCCCATTAGGTGGACCGACGATCTGGTGAAGGTCGCGGGAGGTGCCTGGATGCGAGCGGCGTAGGACCGGTATTTGTAGAAATCTTTGGGGGAGGCCTTTGTCCAGCAGTGGACGTCTTTCGGCTGAAACGAACGAACGAATCTACGCCCATATGCTTGACTACCATGCAGTAACCCTTTATTCCGCACGCAGACCTGCTGGTAGAATTCATAATGTGCCACCTGCTGAAGAAGTTCCCCGGCGAGCTATACCAGCTGTGCGTAGGCGTGCTTCTGCGGCTGCTGAGCTACCAGAAGCGATGCCGCGTGCGCCTGGCGCGCGACTGGCGCCCGCTGTGGGCCGCGCTCATCGCGCTGCTCAAGTTCCTCGTCACCAACGAGAGCACGCTGCTGCGGCGACACAACATCTTCGTCATGGCGCAGCAGGTCAGTGTTCCCTGAGCGACGCCACCACTGAGCCACCAGGAGCGCTGCCGCGTGCGCCTGGCGCGCGACTGGCGCCCGCTGTGGGCCGCGCTCATCGCGCTGCTCAAGTTCCTCGTCACCAACGAGAGCACGCTGCTGCGGCGACACAACATCTTCGTCATGGCGCAGCAGGTCAGTGTTCCCTGAGCGACGCCACCACTGAGCCACCAGGAGCGCTGCCGCGTGCGCCTGGCGCGCGACTGGCGCCCGCTGTGGGCCGCGCTCATCGCGCTGCTCAAGTTCCTCGTCACCAACGAGAGCACGCTGCTGCGGCGACACAACATCTTCGTCATGGCGCAGCAGGTCAGTGTTCCCTAAATTGTATGACAGATAACGCGGGTCTAAAGCCTACTTGGGGCGCGGTGACAGCGAGAAGCGTCGAGGGCTTGGGGTCGTCGGGGTGGACCATAATAATCTCACGCAACTTAGTAACATTATCCTATCATGCCACGCTGCTTCGGCGCTACAACATCTTTGTCATGGCGCAACAGGTCAGTGCACACTGAACAACGCCACCACTGAGCTACCAGAAGCTGCTTAAACAGCAGCAGTGAGTGTTTCCCAAACTTTGCGTCAGACTCAGATCAACCAAAAGTATCGCGAGTATTCGTCAGACCAAAATTAAATAACCCTAAGACGACTGCACATACGTTGTCTCAGAGATCATAATGGTGGATGTTGCAGACCACTTCAACTTTATCTAAAATGCTAAATCACGCTCATACAGTCATACTGTTTGAAAACTCAATATTACAGTTTCATAAAAACTGATGATATTCATGAAATGTCTTGATTTTTTCCAGGTTGTGAATATCTTCAATCTCTTCATAACATTCGGGGATACGTTCCTACCAACGCCGGCGTCCTACGATCAGCTGTACTATGAATTAATTAGGATGCATCAAGTCTTCGATAATCTGTTTTACATGGGTATGTATAAAAATGTTTCATCCTACTGTAAATAACAGAAAAATCTTCATTTATGTGACTTGCAATAGTAATTCGCATAGGGCCTGTCTGATAATGCTATAATTTTTATATTTCTTGGAAATTACATAATTCTTGAAAAAAAAATCTAGCTGCGGTATTAGCTTATCATCATTAACTACTGCTGGAACTCAACCCCCTTCAGTGTAGTAGAGGATTTGGCAAACTGGCGAGACGAGTCTGGTCCTATTCTATTCTTATACTACATGGCGATATTGGCTCATTTTCTGTACATCTCGATTTATTTACCATGTCCCTATTTATTTACCTTCTTTATTATTACGGGACAAACTTGACCTTCACTGGTTGGGTTTTTATTGGCGGCCAAGCTGTAGATCCTGGCTACAGAAGAGTTGCAGCGGTGGGAACGGGAGGTGTGAATAGTCCCGTATGCCTTTATTATACTTTTACAGCGGTTTTATTTATTTATTTTTATTTATTTCAAACTTACATGCACATAGAACAGTGTACATAAGGCGAACTTAATGCATTTTCCTCCAGTCAACCTTAGGGCCAAACTGAGAATAAAGTAGGCGGTATAAAATTGATATGAATTTACATAAAATAATTACGTAAATAACATATATAAATAGATACATAATATTGTAATAGGATGGATGACAAAGGGAGAAAAAAAAAGAGAAGAAAAATGGAGGTTGAACAGAAATCATGAAGATGAAACACTAGCGAGAAAATGTTTGCGCACATGTTTAAAGGTGGACTTGCTGGGAGCCTGCCTGACGTTTTCAGGGAGACCATTCCAAAGACGAATGGAAAAGAGTTGGAAAGAAAACCAGTACGATGAGAAGGAGTGGAAAGAAGCGTTTTAGCTTTACTCATCTCAGATTTTTCTCGTACGCAGCGCTGCGGTACTCGACGGGCGACGGCGAATACAAGGCGGAGGCGCTGCGGCTGGCCAACTGCCTGGTCAACGTGCGCGCCATCATCCAGCACTTCTCGCCCAAGATCGAGGCCTGGCTCGCCTCGCAGAACCTGTCCACGCCCACCGAGGACCAGGTATGAGATGTTTAGCTCCGTTGGCCATTTCCCATCTTCCCCTGAATGGGGAAAACTGTCAGGTAAAGATGGGTAATGGTCACTGTTTTTTTTATCTTCTAAATTGGCTTCATTAGTGAATGAAATAGGACAGAATGGTCATATTAAATAAATAATAATATCCTTGGACATTTTACACTACGCTTCTAGTCTCAAACTAAGCAAAGCTTGTTATGGGCACTATAGTCTGGTCCGGGAGCACGTAGAATTTTGTCCAATGACCCCAAGCTACCCATCCTTATCGCTCGCGCGTAATGATGTTGCTGTCGCGCTCGCACACTCACTGCGGGCGCCCGTCGCACAGTCGCGACAGCAACATCATATCGCGCGAGCGATAAGGATGGGTAGCTTGGGGTCATTGGACAAAATTCTNCAGGATCAGTAGATAACCAGTTTATGGATATCTTGTATAGTTTTTAATAAACTGTGGTTTTACTAAATGTATGGAGACTGGAAACATTGAATTTTCAGATAGATCCAGTTTATTTTGTAAACTATTATTCATACCGTTGGATAGAGCTCGTGAAGCACTTTCAGGATCAGTAACCATTTATTGGATATCTTGTATAGTTTAGAAATAATCGAGTGAGATCACTTATCGTTTCCACCCTGTATATGAGGGTAACGTAGGGTTGTTAAAACAAAGTCTTATGGTTTCACTATTGATCCATTTACCATCGTGGTTTAGTCTCTTAAGGCGATTTATGGAGATGATATCGCATTCATAAGACAAGTTTGATTCCAAAGCCATCTGACATCTATACCCCAACTCAAAGAATTTAGAGCATTTTAATATTTTTTCAGCCTGATTTTTGTTTTCCACTTGTATGAGGACTTTGTACGGACTTTTATATTTAATCCGAAGTATATTTTCTATTTTCTCGGCTTTCATCAACTTAGCTAGGGCCATCTGTTTAGGTAATGCTTCTAATGACGTCATACATACTTCGATTTCTTGCCCTGTCTCTGTCATATTATTGGTACTTGCTTTGTTTTGTTGGTTATCAGAGTTGCTTCGTAAGAATCGTTTTGGCTTCCTTCTTGTCACTGTTATAAAGTCATCTTCATCTTCATTATCATTACACTCACTATCATCTCGTACTCTTTTCTCAATTATTTTTTCTCTTTTATTGCTCGTACAACTCTTCTCGGTTTCCATGTTATCCCATTCCAACATTCCTTGAAGTTCTCTCTCGCATTCTTCTATTATGGCATCACTATGAGCACTCATATTAGATATATTATCCTCTTCACTATTTTCGTCCATTATCACAATATCGTAAAAGGGAGGGTAGTTGCACAATAGGTGACGTTGAGGCGCACAAGTACGTATGCCGAGTGTGTGCGCTCGCTACGCCGGTCCGCGCGCAACTGTGCACATTACATATTTGTGACAGGGTAATTTAACGGAAAACTATGCAAATTTTGTCCAATGACCCCAAGCTACCCATCCTTATCGCTCGCGCGTAATGATGTTGCTGTCGCGCTCGCACACTCACTGCGGGCGCCCGTCGCACAGTCGCGACAGCAACATCATATCGCGCGAGCGATAAGGATGGGTAGCTTGGGGTCATTGGACAAAATTCTACGTGCTCCCGGACCAGACTATAGACATAATAGCCTGATATTTTGTTAATTTTTTGAACAGATTCTGTTCATTTGTTCTGACTGAGGAGCAAACCGGCTTCTTTCTCTCAGTCGCTTTATTTAGCTGCCTAAGTGCCTTTTCACACGTTCCGGTTGCTGGCTATCCGGCGCCGGGTACCCGGTGGTGAAGTGTATGGGCATGGTACGGAGCTTTCACATGTTCCGGCGTAAATTAATCCGGCAGGCGGTAGCCGTGTGCGCGCCGGATCCACCACTGTACGTCCGGTCGCCGGGCACCGGTTAGCCGGCGGCCGAACTGACAGTGGTGTATGGAACACGCAACTAGCTTTCACACGCGCCGGCCGGTCAGTCGTCCAGGTACAGTCTGCGAGAGTTGCAGTTTCTCATTTTTGTATCCTGACGTTGCAAAGAGTTCTTCAAACGGTTATGTAATTCATCAAAAGTAGTTGTACTTGAAAAACCTGTCTTCATGTGCTCGTAGATCTGAGAATAATGTATAGAATGCACCTAATGCTTCTCTTTTCATAAGTGCCTTTTCACACGTTCCGGTTGCTGGCTATCCGGCGCCGGGTACCCGGTGGTGAAGTGTATGGGCATGGTACGGAGCTTTCACATGTTCCGGCGTAAATTAATCCGGCAGGCGGTCGCCGGGTGCGCGCCGGATCCACCACTGTACGTCCGGTCGCCGGGCACCGGTTAGCCGGCGGCCGAACTGACAGTGGTGTATGGAACACGCAACTAGCTTTCACACGCGCCGGCCGGTCAGTCGTCCAGGTACAGTCTGCGAGAGTTGCAGTTTCTCATTTTTGTATCCTGACGTTGCAAAGAGTTCTTCAAACGGTTATGTAATTCATCAAAAGTAGTTGTACTTGAAAAACCTGTCTTCATGTGCTCGTAGATCTGAGAATAATGTATAGAATGCACCTAATGCTTCTCTTTTCATATTAATTGTATGAACCCAATAATTTCTTGATATTTCTTTCCGGCGCAGATATTTTCGTCTTCGATATTTTTTTTTGTTTTTTTTTTTATGCATAACAAGGCAGGTATTTGATCACAATCGCACCTGATGTTAAGTGGGATGCAGTCTAGGATATAAAAGCCACATTGCAATTATTTGTTCACGGTCCATCTTTGAAAGTATGAAATGAACGAGACTGTACTCTTGTCGGCTCTCTAGTCGATCAACCGGAGCGTGTGAAAGCTCATTTGACGCCGGGTAGCCGGCGCAGGTTATCCGGCAACCGGAACGTGTGAAAAGGCACTAAGGGTCTATCTTCTATTCTATTGGACGAGATAATTTCTCTTCTTTGACAAAATGACTGAATTCGATGTCATTTTTGTGACCCAACTGTAAATCGTGTACGAATACTTCGACTTAAAAAGTGATTTGGACTATTTTGGACCACGAGGGGAAAAAAATTAAAAAGTATTTAATTACAGATCTTAGACGTCGTCAGGAAGAACTACGACAGCCTCATCCTAAAACTGCAAGAAGGTTTGGAATCCTACGAGCGTTATTCGGAGCGAGCGCACCGAGCGTTACTCGCTCGGCTCGTGAGCGCCGCGCTCGCCGCCGCCGCCGCGCGCCGCGACGCCGCCGCGCGACATTTGCACTCCGCCGCCGCTGACGCCGTCTCGCATTACTCCGCTATCGCGTGAGCCTCTACTTAAGGTTCAGCCAAACCAACGCGATCACACGCGATCAGCCGGCGTGGGCTTATTCCACTATTCCCTAAAAAGTTCATTAATCCCCATATTCCCCATTACGTTCAAAATAAAATCCTAATATAACGGGGATTAATGAACTTTTTAGTTCATTATTCCCCATTATAAGCTCCAATTGGTGTTAACGGGGAATAGTGGAATAAGCCCCGGTGTGCAGCTATGGCGATCAATGCATTTGATCGCCATCCCTGCACGCCGGCTGATCGCGTTGGTTTGGCTGAACCTTTAATACAGCATTCGCGTTCCCAGGGAGGCAGGGGACGTCAGCTGCCCTTTAGTGTCTAATGCCCGTTTTCACCATCAATCCCTAATTTTTAAGTGACCCATATGAAAACAAAATTCCTGTTGTGTTACGGGCATAAGACCCCTCATACATGGCAACTTTTTGTAGCGATTTTGTCGCGCGTCGATATAGTCGCAATACGGTCGCTTCGGACGTCTTTCGGCTGAAACGAACGAACGGTCGCTAGCTGGTGTGCCCTCGCCCACATAAACATGATTCAGTCGTGATGCAAACGCGATGCTGTAGCGCGTTAGTAGTGCCTTGGCATCACTTCTGTAGCACGTAGCAGATGCGACTTTCGCTCGTTTACGAAACGCTCGACAGAATCGCGAGGAGCCTATGGACAAAAAAAGCCTGTCTAAGAAAACCTGACTCCCTCCCCCAGGCTAAAATGCCCCGCCTGCGTACACCCTGTATTTAACTCTTTCGGACGTGTATGTCTACCCAGTCAATTCGATCGCGTTTCAATAAACCAAACGTCATTTCAGGGCGTTTTCGCAAAAACAGGATTAGAATTAATATGGTTCATAGTCGATCTATAACTTTTTTCATCGTAAGAGAATCAATACTTTACTATAAGAGAAAACAGAATATAAGGCGCAATATACTTAAATAAAAACACACAATAAGTTATTCGATGCGCGTAAACAGACAAAATACTAGACAACATCAAGTATGAATATCAAATTGTAAATTAATTTGATTTCTAGTTAGGAACTTTAAAAAGCAATAACCAATTTTACAACCTAAAGGAATTTAATATATTTTTTACATTTACGTTGTTACTAAGTGCCTAAGGTTTCTAATCAGAGCCGTAATCGTACGTGTATCATCCTGTACGAAAATTATTTAAGCTTATTAGTACTACGAAATAATTTAAAACATGCGAATGCGATGTAGGTTAGGACTTTGGCGTGAAAATAATCAACAATAGATTCGCAATATGTAAATAATTAGCTTAAAAATAAATTTATGTATGTATGTTTCATCTACGAAGACGCGTTCCACCATTATTCCGCTAATGTTTGAGTGTAATTGGTACACGAAGTTTATCCATGAGTGCACACGCATACTACAATAATGACACTCGGATTGCTCGGATCAAACTCCCCGCACCCCGCGCTTCCCTCGACCAAAAATTGGTGGGGCGCGTCTTCGTGGATAAAACGATCTATAGTCATCGCAACTTTATATAAGTTTGGTTTATCGCGTTGTCAGTGGTCTAGTATATAAAATAAATGAAGGATTTAAAATCCTTAGTGAAGTTTAGTTCTGCTTATACAATTTGAGATTGAAATTATGTATTCTTCATGTTACCTATTGAGAGGCAAGAAATAGTTGGATAAAATGCACAATATGGTAAAAATAATAAAAATATAGTTATTGGTGAATAATCAACGAAATTTTTCCAGTGTGGTATTTACTTAAAGTGAAAATAAGTTAAACTACTTAATGACCCCTTCTAATTTTTTTTCGGGGTCCTTATTTATCATTTCATATGTTTTGACTGAAATAATTTAAGCAAAGGCTGACTTTTATGTTTGTTGTGACAACATAGTTTTAAGACAAATGGTGCAAATGAGCAGTTTATAAACATTGATGCAAATTAATTTATAAACAATCAATTGTGTTACTGTAAGCTTAAACTTCCTATTTGAATGAGTGATCTCCTAGTTTGAAAATAACCTTGATTGGAGTATAGCGGATGAACGAAATATAAAAGGGCGTGATGAACCCAAAATATATAATACTGATAACACTACATTCATTAAGTATAACCATGGCCAATGAATGTGCCAAATGTTTGACCACCTCTGGAGCAAACTTGGCAGAAACTTTTTGTTACCATTTCTTTTTCTTATGCAATCATAAGTAATATTTCATTTGTTTTCTATTGTAATATGATCTATAAGATCACTTTATCAAAAGCTGTTGAGTGTAAGGAGATATTTAAAAAATAATGTGTGTATGTGATATAGTTACTGTATCATTATATCAATGTAATTAGATAGTTATAAAGTGTATTCCTGATAATAAATTATTTTAACTAATATTCTATTTCACTTCTTCAAAACCTTCCTTCCATTCAAGCAGGCCTCCCTAAGAAACGGAGTTTCGCATCTACTCTTTGTCGTGGATTCTGACAATAATGGGAGTATGGGTTTAATTAATTAATGCTGTGAATAAATAAACTTGAATCACGACAAATATTTTTAATATGTATAAATAATTAAATATTTTTGAAATACTCAACCAAAATAAAATATTAACAATAGGTTTATAATTATGACTAGAAATTACATTGGACTAGACTAGAATATGTTTTCATATTATTTGGAATGCTTGATCACCATAGTTATAAATACTAATTGGAGCTAAAATTATCTTAAGCAACAGTTCCTTTTTATCCATACATTTAGATAAGCAATAATTATTTTAACCTACAGGTTTTAATTCAGCAAGTGCTTCTTTGACTAATTCCTCCAATTCCTGAGGTAAAACTGTCTTGCTTATATTCCTATCAGCTTGAACCTCACTGCCATCATCATAATTGTTTTTATATCCTCTCAAAGAGTCATCACCATCACTGTGTTCCTTATTTAATTCTTCATCACTGTCAGAATACTTATTTTTTATATTTTCGGAACTATCATTGCTATTTTTCTCCTTTGTTTCATTTGATTTCACAGATCCTGTATCTGGAAAGAATTCTTCAAGTAACATCTGTGATGGAAATATAGGAATGTACTTTTGACCATTACACCAACTTTCTAAGGTCTTCTCCAATTCTGTGATTCTGTTTGCCAAAATCCTGTAAATAAACAAAAGAGTGAAAACCTAATATCATACAATAATATTAGTTTATGTACATGTTTTGTTGCTGGAAACTTACTGATTTGTTTTCCTTTGGTGTTGGAGTGCAATAGATTTGTCATTTAATGCTTCAAATAGACCCAAACATAGGGACTTTAGTTCAGCAGCTGAACTTCTTTTCAAGCCTGTTTTAGAGTTGATATCCAGAAACTCACGTACTGTAAAATGAAGTTTGAATTTTTAATATTTTGGGCACAGTAGAAATATAAATGACACAAAACAGATGGAAATTTGTCTCAACATACCCTGTTTTTGTGTCATCACATCAGCAAATCCTTTTTTGAAATTCAATGAGTCATTCTTGTTTCGGTTATCCAGTAGAGTCTGCAAAAGATAACTTTATCAATACATCCTTTCATGGAAAAGCTTCACAATAATAAAGTTATATTATTTGTAACAAAAAGGTCAAACTTTTATTTAATTATACTTACTTTATATTTTGTCAATGTGCGTTTGATAATCTCTTTCTCCACTTGCAATTGTGTTATCCTCTCATGAAGATACTTATTTTCAGTGACTAAAGCATCAATATCAACAATTGGTTTTGGAGGATCCAACTCTTTATCGGCTATCTGACCTTTGACTCTGTTGGACAGGATGTAACTGATTTGCTGATTCAAACGTTGTACTTTGTTTTTATAATAGTCTCTATCAGAAACCAACTCTTCTTTCTCATCTAAAGTAGCTCGATAGTCTAATTGGAGTTGTTGGTACTGGAAAAAGTGAGTAACACATAACAATGTAACACAAACTAGTACAAGTAAAAGGAATAGAAGAAAGGAAGGAAGAAGATAATTTATCACTTATGCTTACTTTTTTCTGAATCTTTTCTAGTTCCTGCACTAATAATTCATAATCTTGATTAGAGTATGTCAGGTTTGAGGACTTTTTGGTGTCATTATTGTCTTCAAAGTAATATTCTTTCTTCTGTAACTCCTTCCTTAATGCAACTATATCCCCAGTAGCCTCTTCTAGTTTGCTACGTAAAGTCTCAACCTATCAAACCATAAAAATTAAATTTGTGATGTTGTTTTGAAATCAAAACGCATAAATAATAATTGTTGAACTATAGTGAAAGGTGAAAGTGTTAATTTTATAGGTTACTAGCAATAAATCTTACAACTATGTAGGTATCAGTGTTCATAATTTATGATAAAATAATTATGATTCATAATAATAGACAAATCTGATTATAATATTATTAGTATAAAATGTGTAGTATCATTGTATTTTCATTGATACCTCTAATTTTAACATGTTGTTATGATCCCTAGTTTTGGCCAGCATGTCACCTCCACTGATAGTGTTTGTAGGAGTGAATTTGTATTTGCTGTAATTTGAATCTTGTGAGTGTAGCACAGGCTTTTTGCACTTGAACTGTTCCACCAGAACTTTGTACCGGTCCCTCTCCATGCTGCATTTATCTAATTCACGGCTCATTATCAACAGCGCATCGATTTTACTCTGTAACTTGCTCTTCAAAACAGAGTTCTAAAAAAAAGAAAGAATTTAATACATAAAATTTTTACATGAAAGAATTACCTGTATTTGTAAACAATTACCTCCAGTACATAGTCGTCCAGCTGCTGGTCCTGAAACTTCACTTTATTGTTGTGATTTTTGGTGAACATGTTTCAGAAACGAGAATCAATATATATACCTAACATACAATCATGTGGATTTGAATTTTCACTATATATTTGACTGAATTATTTAAAAAATCAATAATGGAACTGAATAGGACTTATTAATAAGTTCAGAGTCACGAATTCTTAATGGTAAATAAATAATATTTTTTTATGAATAAAAACGGAGAGAAATGACGACGGCAGACAGCTGACTGGAGTCTGACACGTCTGACAGTGACAGTGACAATGCTGAATTGCTGACATGGCAGATTGACATGCAGAAAAACTGTCATTGGTGTATATGTTCCGAAGGTTCCAACCAAAATAGAAATAATTCATTTATCAGAGAACAAGAAATAAAAATCACCTGTTTTATTTCGCTCGTAGTCTGTTTGGAACATATAGTGGCATTATCTCACTATGTATTTCATATGGTTATTAAAAATAAATGCCATATTACAGGTAGGTATATGAGAAAAACGACTTGAATAAGTTTCGGAATATAGCGAGGAACAAACTTTATAATCTGTGGCCAGCCAAGCGGATCTGTCAATTTACTAGTGAGTTCCAATACTAATTATAGAATTGATTAAAGATTTTTATTTGATGTCGATGTTAAATTAATTGAAATAAAAAAATTGACCACTCAAAAATTAAGGAACTTACTTATCATGCTTGATTTAATTTTGAATAACAGACGTACCTGTTACCAAGTGTTAATATCGTATACGTACTAAAATAAAAATGGACAGAAAATGATACAAATTCTTGTTGATAAACAACTAACATTTTATTCCGATACATTTACCAGAAATTTTATCAAAAGTGACACAGATTAGTTATTTTTTTTGAAAATAATATCTTCATTAATACAAGTAAATAATAAACATAATTAATGCAATTTCACATTATCATTTAGGTACTTCGATTTTTTCAAGACTTTTTTAGGGTGCCGTATCTCAAAAAATGGTAAACACGAAACCTTTAGATTACTTTTTTCTGTCTGTGTCTTTTATGCTGCGTTTACACTGCGAAAAATGAATGAATTTCATTCCCACTCCTCTGTTTTTTTGACTTGACTCGGCTAATTTCCGCATAGTGTAAATCCGCCACTATTCCGAGAACACTCGACACGTCATAGAGATGTCAAGTTGAAATTAAAACCATGTTCACAGATCCACAGTTTATTGAAACTGCAATTGAAATTCAAAGAGTTTCCTATAGATCTAAAACTTGAATTTCACATTAATTTACAAGATTATACGGAACCTTCTCGATGTGCGAGTCCTACTTGCACTTGGTCGGTTTGTTATATTCAATTGTATAATCGATAGTGAAATATTTTTTTAGATAGCACTTTCAATTTATCGTTTTCGTGACAAAGACTAACGTATCGCATCACTAGCATTGTCTTTTGTCATTGTGATTTGTGAGACAGCGGCTGTTTTTTTATTTTGCAGATGTTCTTGCTTTCTCAGTTCTTAGTAATTACTGGAATTTTAGATATTATTGCCATGCACTCCAGCCAGGATCAAAAAAACCTATTCCTTACATCATAATATTTTGTAAGAATGGCAGCGTCTGGGACTGAAATTGAAGACTTCTTGAACGGGCCCCTAGTTTCGTGGGTGAGTGATCAGCCATCCGTGTATCTGTTTTTATTAGATATCTACTCATATAAACTAGAATGAAGCGTGAGACAAAATTACACAGCCGTTCCGTGTGAATGAATGCGATATTTCTTTTTGGTCGCTTCTTAGTAGCATTACGTTAGTGGACGTATTGACCACTTTGTTTCGCAATTTCTTTCCTATCATATCGCCAATCGATTCACGAAATAAGAGAATTTAGCTAAATTGATTAATTTTGAATGAACTTTGTATGATACCTTTAATACAACCTGTGATACAACTAATATCATTCATATCATGAGTACTTAAACTTCACAAATTAGTAATTGTCAACTAAATTCTTAATACTCTGTTACAATACATGTATGTTTTCTATGCTTGGTGAAATTATGTGCAATAACTATCTGGCACAAGAAAATGTGTTTTCTCAACAAGAATTTCCCATACATAACTTGCACTGTGAATGAGTCTCATTAAATTACAAGAAATGTACCTAATAAAAACACATCTCTAAAATTATGATTTACAATTAATCAATATGCAGTTATTTTCTCATGTCTATTCATACTTCAATCAAAATTTTTAACTGATAATTTTCTAATTTTTTAGGTAAAATCATGTTTACCAAATCCTGATCTTATCACTGAATATGCATCCCTCTTTAATGGAGATATACTCCAACAAGTGTATCTTCAAATTGACCCAGAGCCTTCATTTCACATCACTAAACTTGCTGGATTGGAGGAACAAGCTCTTATTCTTGGGAGGGTCAAAAACTTTGATGCAATAGTCAAAAATGTCAAGGCTCTGTATGAAGAAGAGTTGGGAATGACACTGTTGGTAGTCCCAGAATGCATTTGCCTTGGAAAATCTCCAGAGACTAGAGAAGGGCTGGAAAATATGAAGTTGCTAATTCTTTTATTGCTTGGAGCTGCTGTACAATGCCCCAACAAGGAACTGTTCATCACTCGCATCAAAGAACTAGATGTGGAGTTGCAGCACAATATAGTGGAGTGCATCAAGCAGGTTTGTATTTTTTAATATATCTTTTCTTTTTGATGTTAGCTAAAAGTACCTTGAATGAGTTGGGTAGGTAGGTGTTTGTGATATTACTTGTTTGCATTATTAGACAGGGTCACATACCTTAATGTTAATTTATAGGGATAGGGGTCACATACTTTATTGACTTAGTGTGCTTTGCTCAAATATTGGTAATCAGGTTGTGAAAACAATCAACACACTGTATTTGATTATTGCTTGGCCTTGCAATATAACACCTTGGTGATAAACTCAGATCATAGAAGGGAATAGATGTGAAACGGGGGCGTGGCGCGTGTCTCCGCGATATGCCCAGAAACGAACATCGGCCACGTAGCTAGGTTAGTCGCGATTCAGTCGTACTAAGGAAATGTTCTCCGAATTTTTTGGATAATGCGTCGTTACGTGCAATAAAACAAGTGAAACGAAGAACTACAGGAACAATGGAGTCATTTACTACATGTAAGTATTGCAAATCCATTGGTATTTTGGTTATAAATAAAAAAAACTTAACATTTTTACGAACGAATTCAGTGCCGTAACAGTTACTGCGATATCGAAATCAGTGGTGATAAAAATTCTAACACACTTGTACATTGACGATTTAGTTAGCAACCACTTTATGTCATGCTCAACTACTGCGCGATGTATTTAATTTCTTCCGATATCCACTATCGTGTGAAAATACACAGTACGGCCGCATGTGCCGGTCGTAACATAGTGCCGTGCTCGTGTTCTAATGCGGTTTCCTATTATCGATAAATAGAAGTAAATTATGATTTTCTATTTTGTAATTTTAAATAAAAAAATTATGTGTTACTTGCGATTATAAGATTTTACAAAAAAAATAATAACAGTAGAAGTAATTAGTAACTGTCAACTATGTAATTACTATAAGAGCTAGTTGAAAGCCTAATATAGGCATTATTTTTGATAAACATATGCGGTACGCAGATCGCCATAATTAATCCTTCAAGGCCCGCGAATCTAGATACAATAGATAATCAATTGTTATGACATTAATTGATGCCGTCTGGGACTCAAGCGGTTAAAAAGTAAATGCGTGATAGTAGTTAATAATAACGTATAATAATAAAAAGGTTTTCATACATAAGCATTTTGTGAAACCAGTTTTGAGCCTTGCCCCTAGCGATTTAAAGTATCGATATCTTGTCGACTTCATTTTATCTTTGTTCTCTCACTAGTTTTCAAAGTGTGCGTCACGTCACGCGGCCATTGATTGGCCATAAGGCACGCCTTCTGGCCAATCACAGCACTTTTAAGCCGGTTGCACATGTTGTCGTAGACTCTCAGTCGCTTTGTTTTTACACAGTTGAATGTGTGTGTGGGAGCTGTGGTGGGGGAAATGTGGGGACACTGGTTCTCGTTGTAGTTACGCGCGACTTCATATCTATTCTCTTTCTATGATCTGAGGTGATAAATAAGTGTCGTAAGATTTGTCAGCACTGCCAAAAAATCATTATACTGAACAGGCTTGAATCTGAACCCAAGGTTTATTTCAATTTTCGAGTGTCTGTTGGCTTAAAAAAATTATACACAGTGATTTTTACAACATCTTGAAATTAGAAAACAATGTAAGATACCCTTTCTTGACTATGGTGTGTATAGTAAAAATTTTTTAGGTCATAGGCTCATGGTTCCATCATTATAATGGTGCCGTAGTGTATGGGACCTATAAATGTATCTTGTTTCTGTTTTAATATGAGCGAGAAGTCACACGGTGCGGTGCGGCGCGGTGGTACGTCTCGCTCAATCGAAGTACGGTGTTCCTGCGGTGCGGCGCCGGAACGAACCATCTGGTGTATGATTGATTTTTATATGCAGGACGCAGCGACATCGCTCCGGCGTCGCGCCGCGTCTGCACCGCACCGTGTTGCGGTGTGCCTGCGGTGCGGCACCGGAACGCACCGTTTGGCATATCATTAATTTTTATATGCAGGACGCCGCGCAGCGATATAGCTCCGGCGCCGCACCGCGACCGCACCACACCATGTGGCTTCTTCCTAAGTGTTTTTAGAATAAATCAGTGAAAATTTTAATCCAAAAACACTAGAAACTACACAAATTGTACCTATCAACTAACAAATGTTAATCATCATCCAGGTGACTGACATGCAAACAGTGGTTTTAACGCCAGACGCGATAGATCTTTTCCAATCTCCGACTATGTTCAACCATATGCGGCGGCTTGCCAAAGAACGCGATCATTATCTCCAGAACTGGACTTCGCTAGCCCTTCAAGAAGACCTGTGCGAGAATGACAACGAAAATAAAAATGGAAAAAATAGGTCGACTCAAAATGTCAACCAGAACATCAGCGAAAGTCAACATCTTGCTGTTGAACTGGCCGACTGGAAAGCGCGTTTGCGAAAACAGAGACAAGAGTTGTAAGTTGCCTTCTGTTGTTTCAATGTTGATAATAGCCAAAATTTTATTTTATTCTTATCGGATTTGTAATGTTTAACATAATGATGACACATAATCTGGAATTGGGAATTTACAGAGAAGAAAAATCTGAACAACTATCCGAATGTCGTGAAGAATTAGAACATACCAAACTAGTACTTGGCAAGTTACGTTCTGACAGCCAGGAATGGTTTAACGAAGCAAGAAAGGCGGCAGCCTATAGAGATGAGGTCGACGCATTACGGGAGAAGGCGGAAAGATGTGACAGGTTCGTAGCATAATTGTATTTTCTTACACACTCATTATTCTCTTATTCTCACATACCTGTATATCGTAATTACAGGTTAGAACAAGAAATTCAAAGGTACAGAGACCGATTGGCCGATGCAGAGTACTACAAGACTCGCGTTTCGGAGCTCCGAGAAGATAACAAGGCTCTCATGGAGACACGAGATGCGTTAGAGGAGCAGCTACAAAGAGCCCGGAAACGAGCTGAGCAGTGCCTGACTTTAGAGGCTGCCATGATCAAGTTAAAAAGAGAAGCCAACGACATTGCTTTGGTAAGTTTAAGCTATTTGTCCTAGGGTTTTCTGTAGATTTTAATTGACTCCCAAATACTTAAAATTGATTTAATGTTTCAAGGAAAGAGATGCTGACCAACAGAAGATTCAAGAACTCATAGAAGAAAACAACCACTTGCAATACATAACGAAATCAGTCCTAAGCGAAAGCAACAACAGTAACTTAGACACGGACAATGAGTGCGAAAGCACATTAGAATCAGGCGAGAACAGTTTGTCCGAACAGTTGACGAGTAACGCTCAAGCAAGGGCGTTAAAATTGGAGTTAGAAAACAAGAGACTGCTCTCTACCATTGACAGCCTTCGAGAACAATCATTACTTGAAAGTGGAGAAAAATTACTGGAACTGGAGAAAGAGAAGAAAAAGCTAACATTGAAGTGTGAACAACTACAAGAAAACTGTAACCGAGTTATGCAACAGAACTCAGAATTAGAAGAAGTGTTTAAAAACGCATTAGAAGAAAACAGAAAACTTCAAGATTCTTTGGATAGTCAGAAAGCATTTATCGATCGTCAATCCATCGACAGAGATTCAGAGAAAAACAAATTACAAGATTTTGAAAAGCACTTGGAATCTCTTACCAAAGACAAACAAAGAATCCAAATGTTATGTGATTCAATTCAAAGGAGAGCTGACGATTTAGAGAAAACTTTAGATTCGAGAACTAAAGAATTAAACATTCTCAAACCAGAAGCCGATAAAGTAACTGGACTAATTATACAAACTGAAGAGCTTAAAACTAAATTGTCCTATAGTGAAAAAGAAACACATAACCTTCAAAGGGAAGTTAATAAGTTAAAAGAAGCTGTTGAAGAAAAAGATGTATCAATTGATAAATTAACAACTGAAATAGAGTTAAAGAAAAAGGAACTAGAAAGGTTGGTTAAGGAACTCGAAATTAATCAAAACACAATTAGTCGATTACAAGACTTGGAACAGAAAACGCAAGAACTCAAGTCTCAAAAGAAAATGGATTCAGAAACAATTCAAACTTTACAAAAGGATTTGATTAAGGAGAAAGTCAATTTCGACAAGCTAAGAAATTGCTTAGAGAAGCTTGGTATTCATAGTTCAGAAATAATGTCCAAAGATGTTAATGTGGAAGATTTGCTTGAAAAAATTATCACAAATACTGATCATGAAAATTTAATATCAGAAATAGCAGCGAAAGCAAACTTGATGGCCTTAGTGCCGTGCAGTTGTAAACAGGCAGACGTAGAAGTTAATGACATCGATGAAAATATAGTCAATCCACAAATAGAACAATTAACTGCTGACGTGAGTGCACTTCAGGCGTCATTGGAGAGTTGTCAGTCCGAAAACGCCAAATTGCAAGTGAATGTCGCCACTCTCAACTCACAAAACGGTTCCTTGATATCACAACAAATGACTTTACAGCTGGCCAACAGCCAATTAGCAGCTGAAAAGGAAGAAATCATTAAACAGCTAGAAGTTTTAAAAGATAAACAAGATAATCTGTTGCGAGATCAAGTGGCTTTACAGACACTCCATGAACAACTCAATACTGAGTATGAATTGTTGTTAAGTGAAAGAGAACCAGTTAAAATAACTGTAAGGGATTTGAAGTTAGAAAATCGAGAATTGAAAGAAAAGCTAGAAAGTCATGAAAAAAAGATATCAGAATTTGAATTAGAACGCGAGAATCTTAAAATTGAATCAAGAAATCTAACCAATTTAAGAGCTGAACATTCAAAACTAAAAGACGACTTCAGAAATCTATTTACCGCTAGTGATCGACTCAAAAACGAATATCGTAACATGCAAGAAGAATATAGAAATCTCAGAAGTGAAGTAACACAATTAAAATTGAGAAACACTGAGATGTCTGGTGAAATTAATACAAAACTAGAAATAATAACTAGTATGGAATTAGAAATAAATAAGACAAACCAGCACTGTGAGATGCTTGTTCATATGAACAAAAGTTTGGATGCTGACAGGCGCTCATTGATGGACCACGTCTCCCAACTGCTTACTCAGTATCATGAATTACTGGCACATTCTTTGAAAGATAAGCAGCATTATCACGAAGAAGAGAAAATGTTTGCTGATAAAGTAAACGCATTATGTCGCCAAAAGGAAAAGCTTGAGGAGAAAATCATGGAACATTATAAAAAACTTGACAACTGCACCACAAAGAGGCGTGGCTTTGGGGCTTCGTTTGTCAAAAAAGTAAGAAAAGCGGGAACCGATTTAATAAATAAAACGGCGAGGAATAATAAAAGAATAGAAGACGCAGGTCGTTCGAAATCACAGTTGACTCTAGCCGGTTCTGAATCAGGAGAATCGGACCCAGGGCAAGACGTCGAAAAGATATCCAAAATTTCGGATCAGGACCCAGGTTCGTCAGTTCCTAGCATGGAATCGCCGCGCCACAGTTCCGATTCCAGTTTTAGCAGAAGGTTTGACGACAAACTGCTAAAGAAATCTGACAACACAGATATGACTGGGTCTATCCCTAGTTTAGAATCGGCCAGATTGACTGGCGAAGGAAACTTTGTGAGAAGGCTCTCGACTACATCTATGCACAGCGGCGGCGGGGACGACGCTCTGATTCGGGCTTCTTTGAGAAGGAGAGCGCATAAAGCGGTTCCGTCCTCTCACAGAAACAGTTACCAGGGCTTAGAAAACGACTCAGGGTTGCCACCTGCAGGTAATTTTTCTGACTTACAGTAAAATTACGTAAGTGTCAGAATCTTAGTAAACATGAATTTAAAAAAAAATTCGTTTTCAGCATCGACACCTTCGCCTGTGTTCGGAACTGCCGGCAGCCGCCGCACGGTGTACGTGGCCGACGACAATCCAGACATCACGCTTAACTCCAAACCTCAGAGCACCCCTATAAAAGAAAACCCAACTTATTTAGTGTATAACAGAATTTCGACGGTTATTGGTGACGGTGCTTGTCAGAGCATGCCCGACCGGTCGACGAGTGATCTGCATCGATCGACTTCTGAAGTGCAACGCTCGACGATAGACGATGGTTTACAAGAAAGAGAGGAGCTCAGACATGACAGAAGGAACACCAGCCGCAGTGAAAAAGCTGACACCTCGAAGGAGTCGGCGATATGGTATGAATACGGTTGCGTATGATATTAAGGCCGGGTAACAGAGAAAATGGCGAAAATGAGGTTTTCATTTTTCATTTTTGAGGTACTAAACAGTAAAATAAAAGGCTAAGATTTTTTTTGGGCATAGTTGAGGATATTTTCTAGGGCTATTAACGGATGGAAACACGATTTGATGAAGTTGACTCGATAGAATAAATTCCCAAAGTTACCTCTATTCGTTTTCTATTTATGGTTTTATTTTTAAAATAAGCGATTTGAGATTCTGAATCTTTTACTAAACTAAAGTTCAGAAATAACTTGAGGGCTTTTAACGGATGAAATTTTTATATTGCGTCTTATTTAGTTACTATGTTAAAAAATGTGGAAAAAATCGCCCATGACGGCTTGGACAATCTCAATCAGTCGCGCGGTGGCGCTTACGGAGGTCGGACGCGTGTCAGTTTTATGCACGTGACAGTTCGCAATTTGTCAATATTTTTGACAATGATGACTTTGATGAGTCACAGTATAATAATATCAGTGTTACTGGAGAAAGCTAAAATTTTTGATAATTAAGAATTATGAATTTTGTCTACCTATTGAAATTTAAATCGTTGGCATCCTTTTAAACTAAGACTCTACTCATGATACATAGTACATTCCTCAAATATGAGACAAAAGCAATGAGTTAAAATTACATTTTAATAGTACCTACCTACATACAAACGACTTACACTCTTTAGAAGAGCACACTTACACAAATAAATAATAAAAAATTAGGTCAGTGGGTCAAATATAGGGGCAGCTGCACGTCACTGAAAGACGCATCTGGGCTGGAGAACATCCTTCATCCTTGCTTACAGATGCAGATGTCAATAGAGTTATAACTGGACAAATTTTACATGAAATGTTTAACAGAAATCAGTTTTTGCGTGAAAGAGTAACAAACATCCAGACATCATGACATCCAGATATCCAAACTTTCGCCTTTAGAATATTTGTAGGATATTTCACAATCCAAACTAATATTTACTATTTAGCATTTACTTACAGTAAATATTAGTTTGGATTGTGAAATATTTAAAATAAAAAAAAGAAAACAAAATAGGGTTTCAAATTACCTATCTATATCTAATATTATAAAGAGGTAAAGTTTGTGTGGTAAAAATTAAAAACTATTATAAAGCTAAATTTTGCTCTCATGGAGCCTTTACCTAATCTGACAAATTAAGACTTAGAGAAGAAACTAATAATAAAACTATTTAACTGTCCTGCAATGAAAAGCTTGATCGGGTACAACACCTCAAGTTATTTCAGAACTTGATTTCATTTAAAGACTCCGAATATCAAATCGCTTAGATACCTATCTAAAGTCAAACGATTCTGAAATATCAAGTGGCATAAAGTTGGGACTAATGAATAACCCATTAAGATAGTAGCGCCCTCCTGTCAATGACATACCTGGAACGATAGAGTATTGAACAACTAATAAAAATGCTTTGTCCTAAATGACTGACGGATATCGTAGAGACCTGAAAGTTGGAAGTGTGTTCTTTGTATGACGTAGGCATCTCATAAGAAAAGATTTTCCGAAATGGGGTCACAAAATGAAGGGGGTGAAAAAAGGAGGCAAAGTTTGTATGGGACAAAGTGATTCCTTGGTTCGATCTACTTGAAATTTAGCTTAATATAATTCATTAATATAATTCATGAAAGACGTGTGGAACGGGTAGAAAGTAATTTTGGCAGTCATTTTCTTCGAAGTTGATATCAATACTACTTAGTGCCTTTGATTTAATTACTTTTTATTTTTATAAGTGTTTGAAAACTCCATGTCAGATTGTGTTCAATGTCAAGTGAAATCTCAAATTGAAATGTCTCAATCTCAATGAAGAGACTCTGTATTTATTCCTAGAATTCCCCTAACACCGTCAAATTACCCTTTCGAATTCAATGTTCAATGTCAAGTGAAATCTCAAATTGAAATGTCTCAATCTCAATGAGGAGACTCTGTATTTATTCCTAGAATTCCCCTAACACCGTCAAATTACCCTTTCGAATTCAAAACAGAGCAGTTTCCCATCAGTCTGCTTCGTAATGACTATAAACAAAGCTCAAAGTCAAACTCTAGGGACCTCTGCTTAACCCTTTCACGCATATGGGACACATTTGTCCCCACATAGTTTTCACCATTTACAGTAATACTGGTTAAGTTAAACCATTTGCAGTTTAATATTCTTAAATTTTATTATTACTATTTATGATTATGCGCTAGAAATAATAAAAAATTCGATTACATGTGTAAAAAAATACTGGCACAACATGTGAAAAAAAAATTCGTTAGACGTCAAAATTGAAAATTATAATTTTATTACTTATCGACTTTCTGCCACTGTGTTTCTTTCAATTTTACATTCAATGGTAAGTATAATTATCGTTTCATTGTATATTTTCGTTTATTTTCGTACGAGTTAGGAATATTATGTAAAAATCTAATTGGGACACGGGTGTCCCTATATGCGTCAAGGGAAACTTGGTTCTTCCTAAGGATATTGTTTGCGTCGTTATAATTTGTATGTTTATATCGATGTTTTATTATAATAGTCATATATTTTTTGTAAATCATATGTCTTCAAATCGACATAAAAAAATTCGCTCAGAAAAGACGAAATTTTGGAAGTCATGAAGTCATGATGACTGATNCCATTTTGAACCGTGTTTACTTCTGCAGTTATATTTTATATTTATTCGATTCTAGAATATATTCCCAAAAAGTCTGAAAGGTGTTTTAATTTGTATCACTTGGATATGATTTGTATTAGAAAGTGTTGTGAGTGTGACGCTTGAAGGGAAGGAAGTCAACCTAACCTAACCAACTGCGTATTTCTATACTGTGTAGCTGGAAATTGTGGCGGGAGCTCTTTGGCGCGCTGTCTTCGGCGAAGAATTGCGCGCGCAGATTTTGACAGCGCGAAATACCTACTTTAGAAGAAATACCAAGCCTTAAAAGGTTTTAGGAGCTCATCCGATAAAGTTTCATTATGTTAATTAACCATAATTTGTTAACTTGTAAAAATATGAAAATAGGTAATACTTATTACTTGGTAAACCATGCACTGGCATCGTCTCCACAGTCGTATACCAGCACTTCAATTCCCCAAACGGTTGCAGTTTTGGATTTCTGATTTGCGATCACCTAAAAGCACATTTTATTCAAGTTAACACTTGTCATTCATTAGTTTTATTTAATAATAAATGACATTTGTACCTCTGCTAAATCCACATCTATGGAATCAGCTCCATCGCGGCTTAGGGTAAGTACGGAATTATTGATTGTAGGTTTCACTAAATAAAGTTCAGGAAAGGCTCTCGCCGTAATAAAGTTGTTTGCGTCATCTATCACCATTAAAACCCTGTAAATAAAAGATTTTATTTTTACATGGAATGATAAACAGAGGACAGATGTAAAGAATAACTACTGCAACACTATAACTGCCGAGGTTAAGGCGTTATCATAGAAGGTAAATAAAACACGACTGTTTAAAGTGACTTGTTATTGAGTTAGCGATTGTCGAAACCTCTGGAGAATTATTTCTTTTCTTTTCAGTCTTTTAAGTCATGGCAGGTACCTAAGTATTACATGTTTTATTTATTCGATTCAGCGGTTTGTCCTATAACTTGACTTGATCCCACCCACGTAGGGCCCACATCTCTATTTTCTGAAGTTTGCGGAAAAACATAAAAAGGGTGCTAGTTTTGTGTGTATACGACACGTGATACTGTGATCCTAGATACTCGCCTGTCCCTCAGCCATCCGGTCTTCAGCCCTAAAATTGTGCACTCGACTTGGTCAATTTTCACCGGTTGACAGGACTTGACGGGGTACACGTAGATGTCCTTCAGTGTGCCGACCTGGGTCCACTGTTCTGGGATCCTAGATTGCGATTGATGCTGATACAGTCGGTAGGCGCAGTACGCGCCGCCTAGCACTCCTACAGCAGTCGCGGCGGCTGCTGCATAGGGAGCTAAAACAATGAATGAAAACGATTCAGGGTGTACTATGTCGAGTTAGCTACCCGGCTACCCTTGGGTCATTATAGCATTGTAGAACAGCTAATTATGATAAACAAAATAAGGTCAAAATGCCGTTTAGCCCCCTAGCACTGCCAGGCAAGGGGGTCGTGCCATATACACGCATGAACCCTGGTCGGTTCAAGGTTGAAATTTGAATTTTAAATATTTGATTTTAGGTATTCCTTTAATATTTCCTAACAATTTAATTTACTAGTTTATGGTCATGGGCAAAAAATCAATAAGTTTGTAATCAATAGTAGATCAGCCAAAAACGAGCAGGTACCTACTTAAGTAAATGCAAACTTAATTTATTTTGTTTGATGCTTATTGAGTTGACACTCCAAGCACACACCGAGTCTTTGAGATAATAAATACGAATGTAAACACAATTGATTCAAGGTTATGTGTGTCGCAGGTCTGAAAGTAATATAGTTAGTATTTGTGACCAATTATCCGTGTAATATTGTATTAAAAACTTACCGACGTTTGGCATAGTAATAGATTTGAGAAGAATAGGAAAATAAAACCGAATCGGATCACTCGCCCAAACGACAACTAATCGCCTCGCGCATTGATGCCGGAATGTTCAGTCCCAACTCCCACTCCTCAGACTATCATTGCTATCATTGCCTATACTTACACATACGATCCTATATGTAACCGGCGAGTAGGTATTATTGATAAAATTAGCATGGACGACACCTATCACACCTACCTACCTATATCAACGTCGGTCTTCGTGTTGTTAAGTGCGTATTATCCAAGTGTGGTTAAAGACACTTTATTTCTCATAATGAATACCTACTGAGAAACTTACATTTTATAAGTACATAAATACATTTTTATGAGCGACATGCTAATGAGCTTCGCTAAAAAATGTTTAAATTATTCTATACATTTTTTCATATTTTATCAGTTTCTCTGCAATAAGAATAGTAGACCTGTTCAAAAGAGAAAAAAGGTCATGTAGTTCATCCCCGTAGGACCAACCCTCTGCCCTCGAATTTTCGCAAATCTATGCTGCCATCGTCTAGCTAGATGATGTCGAACCAAGGCGTAAAGGTCATGTAGCCCACCCTCGTAGGACCAACCCCCTTCTAGACCCACCTTACATTACTTAAAGTAGGAACAATTATTAACAACTTGAATAATGTTTCAATGTTTATTTAGTACATAATTGTATCAAAAATAAATCATTTAAAGTATGTATCTTTAAAATATTTTTTCTTTAACTTAAGAACAGTGTTATTTCCTAAGCAACATAAATGGGATCATTGATGGAGACCACCCCTCCTGGAGCCGATCGTAGCGCCATTTGCAGTCCCATTCGAGGAGAGGACCCTGCTGTCTTGCGGACCAATGGGTCTTCAATCTGCCTGTAACTGCAATAAGAAAAATTTATTGTTTAGCAAGTTATTAGTACAGATGTAATTAGAAACTTTTACGTCTTATTTTTTTATGATTTTTTTACCTCTTCAATGTTTCTAAAGGTTCGGTCTTCGAGTTACGAACGCCCGTTTCTGGGTCAACTGTAGTCAGTATGCATCTGAAAGCAGTTTTTCAGTATAAAAAATTGATCCTTCGAGCCGGATCAAATTAAAAACCTACTGAAAAACAAACTTGTTTGAATACCTAGTGCACGGTTTGATTATTTCGAATACATTTTCTCCGATTTTAACAAACTTCCAGTTGTCTTCCTCGTAGGCCTTGGCTGTACCAGACAGTACAAAATTAGGCCTAAAGTTTCTATGTGTGACCTGACATTCGGACAAGCGAGTGTTCAGTTCGTCTACTGAAGCTTCGTTGATCAGGTTGAATGGAACTTCATCTGGTAACGCGCCCTAGGACAAATAGAAAAAAAACAGAGAATATTAGAGTCGAATCAAGTTACATTACTGCTTACATTTTACCTTCTAACTACTTACCGTATCATTTTTCGTGAACTTGTAGATTTTGTTGGTAGTGCTTCTCAGGCTGCGACTGTTTTGAGAGGCGTAATACACCAAACGGTAATTGGTTGTAGTTCTATCGATTAGTCTGAAAAAATACACGAAATTTAGTTCCTTTCAACCAGTTTTTTTTTAAAACTTCTGTGTGCTGAAAAACTATCTTACCTAGAAAGCCATTCACTGGCTTCCCAGCCGCAGTCGCGGACTGGTACTTCTACGCCCCACACAAACGCAGACTTTGGTTCTTTCAAAGCATTTACCTATAAATAAGTAAAAAAGGTAAAAATAACATCGTTAGCTACAATTTTTACATAGGTAGCATTCTACGATATATTAATGTAATCTTACTTACTTCAGCTAAGTTAACGTGCAAAGGTTCCATGTCAACATGGGTCAACGTTAGCACGGAATTTCTTACGTTGGTCTTTATTAAAAGCAGCTCAGGACAAGCTCTAGCTGTAAGGAAATTATTCTTCTCATCCACTATCATCAATATTCTGTAAAGAAAAGACAAGTATATCTTAATTAGGTACACAATTATTTACGTAAGTGCTAAGTAGGTACTCAATAACTTAAATGAACTGAATTTGAATTACTGAAAACTGAAAACACTTGTGTTTTGGTGGTAGGTACCTATGTGTGTAAAACAAACTGTGAAATCGTCTATTGATACTGCTCATTAATTAAAGATAACAAAACGACCTAAAAAAACATGCCTTCGCAATGTCCTATAGTAAAGTCCACTAAGTAATCAGTTAACATCGTCGAAAATTCATTTTTATCTGTTCCCTTCTTACCTATCTCTTAGCCAACCATCCCTCAATCCTAAAATGGTGCATTCTGCAGTGTTCAATATTACGGGTGCACACGATTTGACGGGATACGCGTACATGTTCTTCAGGGTACCAACTTGAGTCCACTCTTGTGGAAGCTTGGGTTTGCGGATTTCTTGGTACGCGCGGAAAGCGCAGTATGCACCACCTACCACGCCTGCTACTGCTACGGCTGCTGTTACATACTGCGCTAAAAAAATCATAATAATAATTAAATAAATAAGTAATTTATTGCCTTCGAACCATTTAAATACATTAAGTGTAGTTTACCTACGGGTTTTTTTAACATTCTAGCTAACATACGCCCTATATTGTGCCATTTTGCTTTCTCGTTTATTATCTTGATACCAAAATAAATAAAAGTTATCTCTCTTTTTTAAACTTAGGGCATAGTTTTTAAAAACTAAAATAGGTAAGTAGGTACTCAGTGAGTTCATGCAGGACTTCAGACATTATTAACTAGGTCTAGTGAAAACCCTGTGGATATATTTCCTACCTCTACCTCAATTTAGCACTAGTAATTGTTTATTTAATTAAAATTAATTAGTACTTTTAAAATATTCAGTTTAATACCTACTTCAGGACTTAACAGAAATCAGAAGGCATACCTACTTACTTACTTACACTTTTAGTATTATGTAGACCCTGATATTAGGATAGTGACCGAGAGAGTTATTTACCATACCACTTACTTAATACATTTTTATAGTTTTTTGTGGGTAGTTAATAATAATTTATGATTTAATAATATTTCTTACCCTGGTTTGTCATTTTTACTAAGTAGGTACTTAGAAGTTATTTAGAACACTTTTTATCAAAATGTGCTAATGGATCTCATAAATACAAACGAGACGGGTTCGCTACGCAGAACCGCAATCTAACTAAGCGCCAGATGGAAGAAAAGCGTGTCGCGCGGTTGTCGAGGCGAATCGTTGCGTCGAATGATTACGTAACCTATGTTTACGATCCCAAATTAATATGTAATGAAATAATCCATGATGGTTTGCGTAAATAAGAGCCTGTATCATTTTTATTTAACTAAACGTGTTTATTTGAATTTTAATTCATACCGTTATTTGTATCTATCCGAACCGATACATACCTCTCTATAATCTGTAAATCTACCGTTGTCGTCATGACAGATGTCAACAACGTCATTAAGTTATGTCAACGTGTCGTGGTTTTAGGGATTTTTGTAAATGGTTTAGTAGCGATAAAATGTGCTAGTAATATATAAATTTGTTTAATTATTCATCTAAGACTTATGCCACTTAACAAATTATATTCATAAAAGTATAAATATGGTCCTGTTGGGAAACGATGAGGTATTAAGAAATGATATTTTTGCATGCTGAACTTACTACAGATTTTTGCATGTAAAACTTATATTTTCTAATAATTATGTTATTTCAGTTTTTAGCAGAGCTCACAAAACTATTCCAGAAAGCTCGTGGTGAAGGTTCAGTAACTATGACAATGAAAAGATGTAAGTAATAACATCTTTTAGGTACCTACTCTTTTTCATCATTATAGATTGCTTAATCGATCAATCGATCAATGTGGAAAGCATTAGGGGAGGCCTATGTTCAGCAGTGGACGTCCTATGGCTGACATGATGATGATGATGATGATAGATTGCTTATTCATAATGTAAAATGTTTCAGATGATGGGCGAACGAAACCACAGCCGCGAGATGGGACGCCAGCTGTAAAAAATCCTAGTTACAAATGTTTGATAAGAGCACAATTTAGAAACAATAAAATCTCAACAGTTATTGAACAAAGGGATGTGGAGAAATTCAGCACAGCATATTCAAATCTTCTCAAAATGAGTGTAAATGGATTAAAACGTTTGAAGAAGCCCAAGAAAAAGGCTATGGCTACTCAGTAAAACGGAAAATCGTCAAGGCAATGTGTCAAGACTGTAATATGTGACCTAGTGTTCGAACATAATTGATATATCAGTGTACCACCGTGATATCCTGGCGCGTAGGACGAAGTCCATTGAACTGTGCTCTTCTCTCAAAGTGAGATGTTGAAGAGTTGGGAGTCGACCTTACAGTTGCTAGTGATTTAAATACAGTTTAGTCATTGACCATCTGTCCAATGCAACTAATTTTATATACATGCTTAAGTTAAAGTTTTCAAATAAACGTGAATTTACTATAAAATGTATGCTTTTGTAATGATTTATGCAAAAGACAGGTAGTTTAGGGCAATTCCCCTGATGTAAGATATCAAGCATAGAATAGAGCCCTAGACCACATACATGCTAACTGAGAAAAATGAAAAAAGGAAGATTTATATTTATATTTTTATTAAATTCAGCTTATGACAGAAATCAACATAATTACAGTATTTTATAAACAATAACATAATAACTATACAATATCACATAATGAGACCAGTATGAAAAAGATCAAACAATTGCAACAACTTTACTGTTATTGGCTGGTACAGCTTTAATATTAATGTGAAATAATTAAAATTACATAATTATAAAAGCAAATGGTCACACAGACCAAACAGAATTTTGAAACATTCTTGTATAAACAGAGTATAGTTATGTATCTTAGTTTCATGTTTATATAACAAGGTAAATCCATATATTAAATAACAAAATAACATAGGCTATTTATAAAAATAATTTTAGAAGGATATGCTATCAAACATACATGACAAATTCAAAGAATTAAGCTTAACCAGAATGTTGATAAGTAAATAAGTGAAAAATAAGTCAAGAAAAATGATGAAAATTGACAATATTTTAAGAATATATTAAAATTTGGCAAAAAGTTGTAAAAGCTACACAGGAATATAAACTTAATACAAAGAAAGAAAGTTGAAAATTATGTATTTATTTTAAAAACAAGCTGGTCAGTATACATCTAAACTTTGAAATAGTAATTTAATATCATAATCCATCACAATCAAGTTCATCCTTATTTTCCAGCACCGTTTCCAATAATTTATTGCACTTACAACATGTTTACACACATAACAAAGTAATAACCAAATGAAATCAATAATATTTTAATAAAAAGGAAGAGCTTTGCTTTAGGAATCTTATTCCTGCTATATAAATTAATGGTAATAATAAAAAGTGCAATAAAATAATGATTTGTCAATCTCTATCTACTCTCTATTCTCATATAAAATTAGAAAAATGCTATGCATACATTATTTATGTAAAAGTTTTTTTTACAATCTTTAATTTCTATCAAATTAGTCAGTTTATTAGTTTTTTTTACACTTAAAATGTCTTGACTGCTGATAAACTATGCTCTAATTTATAAATATTTATTTATGGAATTTTATAGAATTCCAGAGGAAAGATCGTAATTTGGATTCGTCCATAGTAATGTGTTTACATTTTCGTGGCAAAGCCAATCGTCAAGCAACTTTTCAAGCCTATGCCTAAATTCAGTCTTAACATCGTTCTTATCTTATCTTTGCTTTGCTATAAAGTTGGTTGTTTGATTCGGTCTGGCAAATTGACAGACAGATGAGCCATGTACAAGTATTTAATTGCATCAAGTAAAGTTGGAATAATAAGATATTATCTCGAATTTTACGCGCCTTTCCCATCTAATTTTTAACATTTGGTTTCATAAATGCGTATCGGAAATGTTAAGGGGCCTAACCGAACGACATAATATTTCGTTATCATACTCATACGTATTTGTTTGACAGTTGAGCTACCGTAAGATTCTAAATCGTGTGGCTGGAGTGTGGTCTAGCGCGCAGCTACAGCGGCTGGCGGGACGTGAGGCGCTTGAGGCAGGCGTTGTGCACCTGTGGCCTAATTCACGTATTTTGACATTCAAGATCTCGCTGACGTTTAGAAGTCGTCCCATTGAAAAACAGTTCTAAATCCGTATTTACAAGGGTCATTTTGATAGAACGATTACTCGATAAGATCGCAACTCAGTGTTTTGTTGTCGTTGAAGTTTTGTTACGTGAATAAGGCTACTGGTCGCGCGGCAGGCGCTCGGCCTCGTGAGCACGCGGCAGGTCGCTGGAGTGTGGTCTAGCGCGCGCTACAGCGGCTGGCGGGACGTGAGGCGCTTGAGGCAGGCGTTGCGCACCTGATCGTGCGGCAGGCGCTCGGCCTCGTGAGCACGCGGCAGGTCGCTGGAGTGTGGTCTAGCGCGCGCTACAGCGGCTGGCGGGACGTGAGGCGCTTGAGGCAGGCGTTGCGCACCTGGTCGTGCGGCAGGCGCTCGGCCTCGTGCAGCACGCGACGAAGGTCGCTGGTGCGGTCGGCACGTGCAGCGAGGATGTAGGCGCTGCTTACGTTGCGGCAGACCAGATAGCACGATATCTGGAAAATAAGCTGCCAGTTAAGAAGTTTTTCCGCTGAATTAGGGTTGGGCTGAATGGGACGAGCGAAGTTGGTTACCACGACCTTTTAGGAATATGTTACGCCCAGTTTTTCGAAACAGAAGAGTGAAATAAAGCGCGTGTCTTACGCCAAAACGCGCACATAAATCACTAACCTAAAAGAGACTTCATTGCATGTTAAAGCAAGCTAGTAGATGACGCTCTTAGGTTATAGGTCACATTTGCTCATCACTTATTTTAAACTTAAATCACTTCGACAACAAGACCCAACACGGTCCAAAATTAACAAAGAAATTCAAGCAGTTGTTTAGGCCTTCACCCCAAACGTTGTCCGTCCACCAGTTTGTGCTAGAACGTCGAGTTAACGGAGCTAAGTTAGTTCCACTTAGCTGGGGCATTTCACATAGCTTAGCTGGCATAGTTTGCGGTGGACGCACATGTATGAAAAACTTGCTCAACTATGCGAGCTAAGCTAAACTTAGTTTAGCCGGCGGTGGACGTTCGGCTTAAAGTTAATATACCTAGCGGAATGAATATTAACTTTATGCTTTACCCACACTGGCGCCACTTAGCGTAGCGGGATCAAAGCAATCGCAGCCATTGACCAGTTTGACCACTCACCTTGATAGTGACGCTGTGTATGTCTGCAATGAGCACCTCAGCTTGTTCGTCGTGCAGCTGCGCACGCGCCTCGCAGCGCGCCACGACTGCGCTCACGCCGGCCTCGAGGACCTGATCGCTCATTAGGCTAGAAATAGGGAAAATAAGCTTTGTTTATATTGAGCTAGGGCATAATATTGCGCACGAAATGACTGCGCTTATAGCGGCCTCGAAAATAGGCTTTATTTATATTGAGCTAAAGCACAATATTGCGCGCGCCACAACTGCCCTCACGCCGGCCTCGAGGACCTGATCGCTCATTAGGCTAGAAATAGGGAAAATAAGCTTTGTTTATATTGAGCTAGGGCATAATATTGCGCACGAAATGACTGCGCTTATAGCGGCCACGAGGACCGTGATCCCTCATTATGCTAGAAGTAATGAAAATATGCTTTATTTATATTGAACTAAGGCACAATATTTCGCACGCGCCACGACTGCGCTCACGCCGGCCTCGAGGACCTGATCGCTCATTAGGCTAGCAATAGAGAAAATGTGCTTTATTTATATTGATCTAAGGCATAATATTGCGCACGAAATGACTGCGCTTATAGCGGCCACGAGGACCTGATCCCTCATTATGCTAGAAATAATGAAAATATGCTTTATTTCTGTTGAACTAAGGCACAATATTACACGCACGTCACGATTGCGCTCACGCCGGCCTCGAAGACCTGATCGCTCATTAAGCTACAAAGGGAAAAAGGCTTTATTTGTATAGAAATAGAGAACATAATTTTAACTGTAATGTTTAAATGTCGCAAACATTCCAGATTAGGCGCAAATATTACTATTAAGACGCTAATATTCATATTGCATTATATGTGCGGAACTGCGGATGCCTCATGCGTCCCTTTGTAAACGATCGCGAAAAGGTAGTACAGAAATGTCGCTGGTACAGATAACTCCATACATATAGTATTGAGTCATTATTTAACAGAATAAGAATACGTAATTGTAAAGTACGTACGAAAACTGTCTAATATTATAATTTATGAGTGTGTTGTATGATATCAAACTTACTTGGCAGCAGTTTCTTTCGATAGCCGGATGCATTTGGCCAAAGTCTTGACTTCCATAAACCTGTCCACTTGCACTAGATACTTGGCCACGTGCGTGTAAATATTCATGGAGTCCAGTTTATGTTCTGTTATTATTCTGTGGAAAGAAACACTTGTTGATTATTACATCATCACAATGTTAAACATGCCCGACTTTTGATCATATTTCAGACGATATCATACAAAAGACGATCGACGAAACACACAAATTCTCGCTAAAAGGACATTTAAGACAGTTTCAATAAGTCAGGTAAAGTGACCGATGTTCCACTGGTCCCATGTCTCTTTTGAATGCCTTTTTCCACCACAAACTTACTTGAAAGCCAAATCGAATCCAGCTTCGATCGACTGTCCGGTAGCCAGGACCACAGCAACCAGCCTTATTTTATCTGTATTAGACCCGAACAGAGTGACGGGCCTGAAGTCGTTGTGCTCTTGCTCCCTCCGAGGCACTCCTGGTATGACTTCGTTGAGAACTTTCTCGGTCAGTCGGCCGCTCGCTTCACAGGCCGCGAGGTATTTTGACAGCTCGATCTGACGCGTCATCGTCGTCATTAGGTTGTCTATGGTCACTTTGTCTAGGTGGAATTGGAACGTTTTCGGGTCGTTCACTTCTGCAAAACAAAATTAATATTTGTTATTAGTCAGTGCGCTTATCATTAGTATACTTCCTAGTAATATTGATTTTATTAATCATTTAAAAAAAAATCAGTAGGTATAATAAATTCGATTCGAATACAAGACACAAAACGAGCCAATAAGAAATAAGGTTTGTCTCAAATGTCTATTTTCTTACGAAGGCGCTATACAGTAATGCGCGCACGCATCAGTAACAGTTGCGCCTTTTATTTTTCGGTGTACTTATTGCTAGCGACAGGCACGCATTGGCTCAGATGGTATAGCGCAGCATTGAGATGGTGTTGCCTGTTCTGTAGCGCGGCGAAGGGCGCGGGCGAGCGCGCTATTGGCCGCGAGTACAGTAGCACGCAAGTGGCGGAGGTGCTATATTACGCTCGATATACTTACTGGTAGCGACAGGCACGCATTGGCTCAGATGGTGTAGCACAGCACACAAAGCAAGCCAATAAAAAATAAGATTTGTCTCAATGTCTATTTTCTTACGAATGCACTATACAGTAGCGTCCCCAATACATCAGTAGTAACCGCGCTTACACTCGATATACTGTACTTACTGCTAGCGACAGGCACGCATTGACTCAGATGGTGTAGCGCAGCATTGAGATGGTGTTGCCTGTTCTGTAGCGCGGCGAAGGGCGCGGGCGAGCGCGCTATTGGCCGGGAGTACAGTAGCGCGCACGTGGCGGAGGCGCGCGCGTGTTGCCCGCTGCCGCACTGTAGCGCGTATAGCGCGTCCAGACGTTTGCTCATCTCTAGAGTGCGGCAGATGTGCATTATGTACTCCTGTTGAAATTAAAATACAATTAATGAAGTTGCAAGCGCAGAGTCGGGGTGATGTTTGTGTCGAACGTAAGGAACATGTAATATAAATCAATTTGCTGCAGTTTGAATATGGAGTAAAACTATGTGTTTGTTACAGTGTTACACAATAATACTAACAACTCAGCAGCAAGTGTTGTTAAAGTACGAAACAAAATTGCCAGCTATCAGCAAAATCATTAGAATAATCGTGTGAAATTCTTACATATACAGCGTGTCCCGTAATAGAACGTCAAGCCGGAACTGGGTGTTGAGGCAAGTTATGCTGGTTATCAGAAAAATATAAAAAAATGTCTATCATTTTGTCAAAATAATAGACATTTAAAAAAAAAACAAAAATTCTACTCCCGGTGACGGTCTTTTTACTCGTGTTACCACAAATCTTCACTTTTTCCAATTTTTTTTTGTTATGTAACCCTGAATAATGCTTCTCTAAATTGTTATCAAGAGATTTTTTTTATATTTTTCTGATAACCAGCATAACTTGCCTCAACACCCAGTTCCGGCTTGACGTTGCATTACGGGACACCCTGTATAAACATATTAGTTATGTACTCACCGCCCACATTTGCAGCGTGCTGTCCATATCGCTCATGGCCTTCAACAGCTCATTGACCCTGTCTTTCTTCAGGCACTCCATATAAACGCAATCCGTGAACGTCTCCTTTTCCACCATGTTGTCATAACAGTACGTTATCACCTCAGTCATGTTGCTATGCTTCATGTAGAAGGCTATATTTGCAACATGAGATCCGTAGTTACTGAGGTAGTACACACATTCTTTATAAAAGAACGGGTCGAGTTTTCTCAGGTACAGGTCGGGTTTAATTTCCGTGTGGTTGTTGTTTCTTCGTAACAAGCCCTGCGCTAAACTCTTCTTCGGCTGTATAACGGCGGTTTGGAAGTCGCTGTAGTCGCCTTGTTTGATTTTCTTCACGCTCGCGAGCGTGTGCATTATGTTGAGAGCTGGCTCGGTAAGCTGGATTTTTTTCTTACTAACGTTGAGTGACGCTAGTTTCTCGTTCGTCGACTGTAAATACCAAAATATTTTAATAAAGTAGATCCGCAAAAATATGATCCAAATGGAAGTTATGTTTCGGTCTCTTATCATTTATTTTCTATTAGAACGGTTTCTGACTAGCGTTTTTTACGTCCGTATTAGCTCGTTTTTAGAAGCGCGTATACATATACGCACCTTTTACCATATGACATGTTAGCTCGTATACGCGCCCGTGCGAGTCTGAAACCGCCCTTAATATGACAGCACATATCACCTTAATGGTCTCCGCCTTGCTCAAGAGTGGTTGACGGGATAGTTCATGTCTTCGAGCATGCTCACTATCTTTTCAGAAGTGGAGGGTTGGCTTGAGGGCGGTCAACGCACGGCTTATTATCAAATTAAAATAGAAAATAAGACAACAATCACCTTAATGGTCTCCGCCTTGCTCAATAGCTGCTGGTTGACGGGATAGTTCATGTCTTCGAGCATGCTCACTATTTCGTTCAGAAGTGGCGGGTTGGCCCGCGGGCGGCCGTCGGACTGCGCGCTCGATACGGAAGCCGACCGCTCAGAGTACCGAAGGCTGTGCAGTCTACGGTTCGGGAACGATTCGGACGCTTCTCTGCCGTACTCGCAATCTTCCGTTACCTTTAATTCAAGTGGTATATGGTTGATAAAAGCATTAAACATACATTGTGAATTAATATCTGACACTTTATGGTATTTATTTATTTTATGTTCAAAATAAAACGTCCGTGGAAAGAAAAAAATCCTTACGGCAAATCTGTAATAATTTCCAAGGGCTGTGTGTTATTTACACCATACAAAGTGAAAGTTTCTTGCGTTACTTCTTCTCACCACTGGCCCAAATTGTCCCGAAGCAGTAGTAGGATTAAAATTATACTTGGACGTCAGTTATGTCGGTCAGCTAACGGTAGCGAGACTTCCGATTCTCCTTCAGATTTATATGCTCTATAACAGTCTTTGCCAAAGTGGGCGATAACGCCCCCTTGTGGGCGCTGCAGGCTTAAAGGGGGGCGGTAAGAGACCCAGAAAAAAAAATCAGGACGTTGTGTAGAGGCTTGGGAGGCGTCATCTACTAGGAGGACTCTTAGACACCAACTGAGCTCTGAGCTATAAACAACGACATTTTTACAAAACCGAATGTTAAAACCTCTTGTAACATTCTCACCTCGACGCAGACATTGACGGCGCTCTTGAAGCAGTGCGCGAACTTGTCCCGCGCCTGCTTGAAGCAGCCGGCCTTGAGGCACGCCTTGCCCCACGCCGCCAGCACGCTGTTCCGGGCCAGCCCCGACTTCGTCGCTATCTCCAGCGCCAACTCCCACTTCTCAGCTTCTAGTAAAGACCGGACTATTTGACCTGCAAAAGTAATAGTCAAAATTTTACGGAAAATAGGCCGAAAAAAAATGGGTAGATTAACTGTATTTGAATCGTGTGAGAGCACCCTGTTATGGGGTAGCCCCAACTTGGTGGTTATTTCCAGGGCCAAATCTCACGTCTCAGCTTCTAAAACCGATCGGACTATTTGACCTGCGAGAGAAACGAACTGATCAAGATTGTGATACGTGCTTCAATAATAAAGGGGTAAAGACTTGATCAAATGTATTAGAATTCGTGTGAGCATCCGTTTTAATTTCGTGGCTATTTCTAGCGCGAACTTTCACCTCTTAACTTCTAGTAACCATCGGACTATTTGCTCGCTCAGGACACACTTTTTGACGGCCTGTTTTCCCATTTGTGCTCTCCAACATTTTCAGTCTTATTTATATTACGATAGAAACCGAGCGCAGTGGCAGGTCTGGTGCTTGACGAGCGTGCGCTGCGGCTGCTGCAGCATTAGCGACCTTATGTCTAGTGGCGGAGGGGCGGGAGTCGCACTCACTGGGGTGCGCGCCCTGCTGCGGCACGAGGTGGTGCGCCTGGTGCTTGACGAGCGTGGCCATGGCGTCCGCGTGCGCCAGGCAGCGCGTGCTGCGGCTGCTGCAGCATTAGCGACCTTATGTCTAGTGGCGGAGGGGCGGGAGTCGCACTCACTGGGGTGCGCGCCCTGCTGCGGCACGAGGTGGTGCGCCTGGTGCTTGACGAGCGTGGCCATGGCGTCCGCGTGCGCCAGGCAGCGCGTGGCGTGCGCTGCTCCCGTCTCCGCTAGACGACCGATGCTGCCGCTGCTACTGGGAATAGATACATCAAAAAAGTAAGTAAACTATGTTTGGGAAATGGGAAACATTAAAAAATAGAGTCCAAAAGGCTGCACAATATTATACGCAGACACTTCTTTTTCCACTTGACACCATACGACTCGGTTTCCTGTCATGGTGTGCCGTGTCGGCAACAAAAAGTGTCCACGTTTGCGGTACCTCTAAAAGTCTGTAGCTAGCGTACACCGAGTCACCGACACGAAGCATTGCCGCCAACGCTACGACCTTTGATCAATTAATTTGCCATTACTATTTTCTAGATCCACATTTGACGAGTGGCGTTGGGACTTTTGGCCAATGTTGGCGCCAACATTGCGTGTTTCGTCCAACTTACCTCCTCTCGTGCGGTGTGCGGGAATACAGCTCGGCAGCGGCGAGCAGCAGCGAGCGGCGCGCGCGCACCAGGAGGCGAGCGTCGCCGCCGCCGGATAGCTCGCGCGCCACTTCATCGCTTCTATCCAGCAGGAATCTGAGGAACAGAGAACACATATTGATGTAAGTAAATACTTTGATAAATATACTAATCGAAAGGCTGTGCGGAACTGAGATATTGATTATAGTTGTCCAACACTGAACCGTCCTACCTATGACATAGACATTGTGAGGAGGGCGCTACTATCAATACCAGATTAGTAGTTCCGATTTATGCCACTTGACGTTTCAAAATCGTTTGACTATACTAAGTGCTTGTTCACGTAGGTACGCGCGGGCGCGGGGGCGGGTGCGGGCGCGGGAAACGTTGCGAGCTCGTGTTCACATTAACCGCCAGGCGTTCGCGCGAGTGTGACGTACTATCGTTTCTAGCGACAAGTTCAAACTGGTTGAACTTACCTGACGTCGCGAGTGAAACGCGCGCGCCGCCGCTAGTTTGACATGAACACACACAAACATCTTCACGCGTTTTGAAATTACCGCGAGCGCTCCGCGCGCACCAGTAGCTAGCTTGCCCGCTAGTTAGACCGCACGTGCGTTTCGTACGTGAACACTTGGAATCACTACATATGTTTGATATTTCGTCACCGCGCCCGCGCCCGCGCCCGCGAGTCAACGTGAACAAGCACTAAGTTGTTGACAACTAACAAGTTATTAAGACTACTGCGAGCCAGAGTAGATGTGCGATGCGATTTTTATATGAGATTCACATTCTAAACATGTATGATTGACGCCAATTGACCTCCTTACCTCGGGTAGTCCAAGTTGATGGAGTGCATCTTCATGATGGTCAGGCACAGCGTGACGTTAGGCGTGAACTCGAAGCTGAACTCAGCTCGCACCGCCTCGTTGCGGCCCGCGTTGGTGGACAGACACCAGTCCATGCAGGTGACGCNTTATAGCTATAAGGTTTAGGCATTGAAAAACCTGTAGGTAAGGAAGGTGGTGTGCGTTGAGCTATCAAATGTCTCGGGATACTGTCATTACGTTGTTGAAGATACTGTATGTTAAGTTCCTCCTGTACGTACTCCAGAGCTTTCTCTATACTATCCGGCCTCATGCACCTTATACGAGATCCTAGAGGTTCCTTTAAACCTCGCACAAAGGCTTGAAGGGTCAGCTTTTTATAGAGCGCCCTTTTGGCTTCTATTGTAGTGCTAATAGATTCGTGCAATGTGACATAGGTCATTATTGTACTAAACAGGGTCTGACAATTATCATAGAACTCCTGAGGGCTACTGTTCCCTTGCGTCGCTAAGGAGAGGTCATTATATAGCGCGGTTTCGTCCCTTTGATCACTAAAATTATTTTTAAGGACGTTTCTAATTCCTGCCCAGCATTCGGGAATTCCATTTGAGTTAATAATAGTGGCGGCAGGGCCTGTTATTTTATTCAGGATGCCGTTTAGGACACATAAATTATTTAATTCACTGTTGGGATCATCTACAATGAAATCGGCACATATTCTATCACAAATCTTTATGAATCTAGTGAGAACGTTGGGGTTCCCGTCGAAGTCGGGAACCAGGCGGAGGGCCTTATGAATGGCGTCGGGAGAGACTGCCATGATGTTTTCGTTAATACTAGCTAACCTATTAGTGTCTAAGTTTTGCCTACGAGACTGCCGACTTGATGCAGGCTCGCAGGACCCCGATTTTCGTGGGTGAAAAATTATGAAGGACTAAGGACTTAGAAAAATAGGAAGGACACGAGAATGATTCTANGGTGACGTCACTCGCGTGTTGCTACTAGGCGAAAGGCATATTCTTTAGAGACTATTGACATACCTCGGGTAGTCCAAGTTGATGGAGTGCATCTTCATGATGGTCAGGCACAGCGTGACGTTAGGCGTGAACTCGAAGCTGAACTCAGCTCGCACCGCCTCGTTGCGGCCCGCGTTGGTGGACAGACACCAGTCCATGCAGGTAGAGTTGGATTTATTAGTAATGCAGTTTTAACCTTGGGATGTACGTATTCTTTAATTGCGTTAATAATGTCGGACTCTAAGTTAGATTCGCTAACTTGCAACGAAATACGAGTGTGAGTGTCAAATGGCTTTGTTACTACGGGCCGTCGTTTGACGTCACCTACAATAGTGATGTGCAACTGTCGATGAAATCTATTTATAGGTTCATCGGTAATTGGGACTTCGAGAATTGGGTGTTCATGGCTAGTGTGTGCGGTCATAGTGTCTGAGTTAGAGACGGATGCTGGCTTCTCAGAGGGATTTGCGGCTAGTGAACTAATCTCCTCGTTATTAATCTCGATCCTAGATAGAGCGTCGGCGTTCGTGTTATTTTTGCCTTTTTTATAGATTACTGTGAAGTCATACTCGCTTAACTTCAGCCTCCATCTAGTTAATCTCGAGTTCGGCTCTTTTAGGTTCATCATCCATTGAAGAGGGCGATGATCGGTTAATATCTTAAACTTTCGTCCAAAAAGGTAAGGTCGAAAGTACTTTGTAGCCCATACAATGGCTAAAAGTTCTTTCTCAATGGTACTGTAATTACACTCGCTATCATTAAGAGTACGAGATGCAAATGAGATGGGTTTGTCTGCGCCTATAGTCCCTTGAGATAAAATTGCACCGATGGCTACGTTAGAAGCGTCTGTTGTCAAGATAAATTCACGAGTAAAGTCGGGGTATTGTAATATAGGGTCGTTGGTCAAAAGTTTTTTACACTTTTCAAATGCTTGTACGTATTCAGTGTCGAATGTAATTTTATTGCCTTTCTTTAAACATTGAGTTAAGGGCTTTGTGATACGGGCAAAGTCGGGAATGAACTTACGATAGTAGCCAATTAGACCTAGAAATTGTTTGATCTGTTTAGGGGTTTCAGGGATAGGATATTTCTCAATAGCAGAGATTTTGTCTGGATTTGGCTTAATGCCATCACGGGTGATGATGTGACCAAGATAACTTGTTTCTAACTTAAGGAATTCGGATTTATCCATCTGGATTTTGAAGTTGGATTCCCGTAGGCGTTGGAGGACCTTTTCAAGGTTATTTATCGACTCCTGGAGAGAACTACCAAAGACGACTATGTCATCCAGGTAAACTAGACAAATCTCGTTTTGCAGCCCTTTGAGGACGTTGTCCATCACTCTTTGGAATGTAGAAGGTGAGTTCTTAAGACCCATGGGCATACGCAAGAATTCATAATGCCCATGCTCTACATTGAAGGCTGTTTTCGGTATATCAGCTTCACTCATCTCAACCTGGTAGAACCCAGATGCCAGGTCTAACGTGGTGAAGTACATGCATTTGCCAAGCTTGTCAAGGACGTCAGTTATATTCGGGATGGGGTATTTGTCATCGATAGTCTTGTCATTGAGTTTGCGGAAGTCTACTACTATACGCCACTTCTTTTTTCCAGATGCATCCTGTTTTTTCGGAACAACCCAGATGGGCGAGCTCCAGGCGGATGTGGAAGGTCTAATTATTCCCTGCTCTAACATTTTATTAATTTGATCTCTAACCTCTTGTCGATGTACAAATGGATAGCGATAACTTTTAGTATAGATCGGAACATCGTCTGTAGTTTTTATGCAGTGCTTTATTTGGTTAGTAAATGTGAGCGGTTCGCCTTCTAAATAAAATACGTCGGCGTAACGCGAGCACAAAGACTCTATATTAGCCTTTTCCTCGGGATTCATATGATCCGTCCTAAGGCGCGATAAGACATCGCGTGCGCGCGTCGTGTTCGCTGGCGCGGTGCGCGTGCACTCGATATTAAAGACTTGCGCTTGCGCTGGGTGGTCTAGCGAAAATATAATATCATTATTTGTTAAGTTACTGACTTCTAATATTCCGCGGCTATTTTTAACAGTTGTAAGGCATTCTGAAATTAGACAATTACAGATCATTTGCTCTTCGACAAGTACGTCGCCGTCCGGGGCGTTAATTGGGATTCTGATCATCTTAGATGTGCCTGCTGGGATAATATCTTCATAGAGATTGACATTACGAGAATTATACATCTTAATAGGATTAACTGCAAACTGAGTTGAGAGGGTTTGATCTTTGAGATCGATTTTTGCTTCCCATTTCGTAAGTAAGTCTAGGCCTATCAGACCGTCGAAATAATCATGAAAGCGGTACACAAAAAACTTCATCTCATTCTGATTATTAAATTCAGGGAAACACGGAAGTGTTATAGAATAATCATTGCGGCTGGTAGCGTGCACATTTGTGACTTCAAATGGGTCGAAGTCTAAAGGAAAGTTATAAAAATATTTCTCAACACATTCAGGACTGATGAATGATTGATTTGCGCCTGTGTCTATTAACAACTTAATTGGCGGGTTATTAATCTGAATATAAGGAAGTTGGCGTTGCGTTTGCATATTCAACTCTATTTTAACTTGTCTAACGTTGGATCTATCTGAAAATCCTGCTCTGTGGAACTAGATGCCTGCGGCTCGTTACCTGACTCTACTATCGGGCTATTGTCCGTGGGCTCATAATATTGAACTCTATTGTCATAGTTATAAGTCGCATCGTAGTTATAATAGTCAGTTAAGTCATTGTAATACTCGGGTTCGCAATAATAGTCTGTGTAGTATGAATCATACATTGAGGGATCACATTCATTTAGATTTACTTCGCGAGATTTTAAATAATTAGTTGGCGGGGGATTTCCGAATCTTCGCCAGTCGTGTCCAGATAAAGTTGGGGGTAAGGTCTTAGGGACAAAATGTTGCACTCCGCTCATAGGTCTTGGAGCTGGATGCTGTTGAAGCTGAGGATGCTGCCTGGGTGGCAATCGAAACATATTACTCTGAGGGTTATACCTCGGGGGTGGTGCACTGAACATCTGTTGTGTTCGAGAAATGCGCGGTTGGGACTGTACATTTGGTACCGGGTTAAATTTAAAAGGTTGCGGTTGCATCGCTGAGCGTAGCGGAGGCGGCGGCGGAATAAATCGCTGCGGCGCCTGGTTTGTGAAAATAGGAACACTATTATAGCTNCATGCAGGTTATGCCACTGGCCGCGGAGTCCGAGTTGCTGCTCAGCATCAGATTGTCGTTGTCGGAGCTGGCCTTCTTGCTTATCGTCTGCGTGTAGCAGTCGTCGCAGACGCGGAATTTGACACCGCTGGGGTATGTTGGCACCTTAAAAATGTGCTTATTTTAATAAAATAACAGTAATAAATACATCATACTTAATATGTATATTGACTTTTGACTATCAATTCGTTGTCGATATTTAAAAAACACAGCTAGCATATAGTTATGGGTACTGTAGTATTTAGAACCCAGATCTCTCTAACCCGTCTAGTCATCCTGAGGAACGTAGGCCCCACAGATCACAGAAACTAAAGGGAGATGTAAAAAGGGGGAGGGGTCAGTGTCACAGCAATATGCTTAAAAAAAATAGAACACATTGCTCGCGACAGCAGTCATTATGTGTAAACAGTTTACATTGCTTGCGTAGTACTAAAGATTATTCGAACGTTGAGTACTGATACCGCAGTGTATAATGAGATTCGAACTTCGAGTTGGCATCTCTCTAGATCTCTATGGCAGGCCCCGATCCCCATTAGCCTCTGATAAATTAGTGGGTCACGCTACTACATTGGAGACTAAGTGGTCTGATGATGATGATGATTACCTGCATTCTGTGCCTCGAGCAGGCGTGACACACCAGCCGCCCGCACCGGCGGCAGTGGTGCCGGCGGATGATCATCGAGAAGATGGACGCGCGGCACAGCATGCAGCGGTCCGCAGAGTAGTCCTCCGCCCACTGCTCCTTGCTCGGGACCTGATCCGGCATCACGAAAGGACGCGACGCGGCCTCAATGTTAATCGAATCGATCGACTGCAGCAACGAGTCGTCCGACTGCTTTGGCGGCGCCGTGCATGCGTTCCGCGGATTCTTCATATCCAATGCTTTCTCCGCGTAAAACCTCAACAGAGCGTCCACCGCGTTCCTCGATATCACCAAACTCTCTATCGTCTTTATATTGTAGTACAAGTTGTCCCCGCTCGGATCCCGCTTCAAATTCGGCGATATCTTATTTATTATATTCGCCAGCATATCCAATTTCGCGTTCATGAGGAACTGCTCGATCATTAGCAGAGGTTTTTCTATCAAATCCCAAAACATGTGGCGCATGTTCACTTCGATCTCCACCATAATTTGCAGTCCGATTTTGATGTTCTCGAACGATTTCCAGTCGAAAGAATTTTCGGATATAAAGTCGATGCAAACTTGAAGGATCTCGACGTTTCGGACTTTTGACATCTCCTCTTGGATCAAGTCCATGGCTTGATTCATGGGGAGCCTCGCGAGGAGTTCGCTGATGAAGTCCGGCGTGGCCTGGTTGGTGTACTCGAACAGTTGCCGCAGGAGACTCATTACGATTAAATTCTTCATGTTCTCCGACACCTCGTGGACGTCTGCCCATTCCAAGCAAAGTTTGTACTAAAAACACGAGTTAAATAAGTAAAATACCGCCAGATTTTGTAACAAAGCTAAAAATGTTCGGGAATACAAACCTGTTGACTGTCCAAAAGAACTTCAATAACGTTTTCCGGATTTTCGACAGATTTTTCATAAATATCATACCAGTGGTGTACGCCCATTATAGATGATATCTGAAATTAAAAGACATGATTAACAATGATACAAAAATATTATTTTAACAATATTGGACGAAGAAACAATCGTACCTGATCATATAAGGGGATTTTGATCATCCAATCCGTACATTTTTCGTATAACTCCTGTTCCAAAAGTTCCTGGTTTAAAAGGAATCTCAAGTAATCCAAAGCCTCTATAGCGCCCTCTGCGGGCCAACTGCTCAGATTGTTCAGAATCAGATCTACTTTCAACTCGGGACACTTGAGGAACTGGCAATACTTCCAGTTGTTGCCGATCTTCGGATTAGTCGCCAGTTTAAACAGTATCAAATCTCGCAAATTTGCCAGATTTGCACTACACATCTGTTGCCTCTCTGACAGAGAGTCTATGATGTTCAAACATTTCAAAATTTTACCAGAGTTTATCAGTTGCGGCATGTATACAAAGAGTTTGTCCAGGTCAATAGTGGTGTGTAAGGATGCTAAGTATTTATTGCCATCGAATAAAACTTTATTGCAATTAAACCTATCTAGTTCCATGTAATTATTTAACGCTTTGGTCCTTGCGTCCATGCTTTGCTGAAGACTATTTTCATTTGAAGAAGTGTGAATCTTCTTTATAATGTGAGCCAATACCCAATTGTGGAGAACAACATAGGTCAGACATTGAGGATCTGGGGAACGTGGCAACGGAGCAAAATTCGTTACTGGGTCTATAAATAAATTCTCCTCCGGATTTTTGAAGTCATAAACAGCTTGAAGGAGATTATTGAAGTTAACTTCACTGGCTTCTTTGTGTGGTCCGGTCAGGGTGATAGACGGGCAAAAGTTCAAAATAAGCTTTGGTATAAGATTGACGTTTAATTTCTTGCAAATCGGCTCTAAATTGGTGACAGGCACTTCTTTATTGTTAATCATATTTCCGAATATGTCGTGCAGCTGTCGCCCTAAGACAGAGAAATAAGGCGCGTCAGCTACAGCGTCTGGCGACTTGTTTTCCTCTTGTTCCAGTTGTGAAACTGTCTTGCAGTACATGTAACACATTCTCAAGTACGGTATTCTAGTTTTTCTATTCCCCTGCCGTGATACGTCGCCAACATTACACAAATCCTTGTCAGACGCAGCTACAACGTTCATATAAATTTGGTGATACTTCTGCAGTAAGTTTTGATCTAATTCTGTCGATTCGTTTGAATTAATGACGAAAGCCAAATCGTCGCACGATTGTCTTAATTCTTTTGCGAGCTGGTTCAATTTACAGAACTCTTTGTGTTTTATCGGAATTCGACAATCTGTTATCAACCCGCAAATATTATCGACAAAATTGAACGACTTTTCTGTGTTGCCGAATATTTCGAAAGTAACGCTGGCTATGTCTTCAACGAATCGAATGTAGTTATTTTTCTTGACTGCAGCGACATCTGTGGAGTGTCTGACTTCTGCCAGTTTCCGTTCCACAACATTTATGAGACCATAAGTTATTTCTCTGTTAAGCCCGCTACTGAGTAGAATATCTACGGCATTAATGAAAGGCGCATTTTGGTGATTGTACAGTTGCAAGTGTGGGTGACGCCCCGCTAGTTCAATGATGTCAAAAGAATTCGGAGCTCTATTTGATGCTAGAAATCCTTCCACAAGGCCCATTACTTCAGTGGAGACCACTGATAGCGCTGATAGTTCTTTAGTAGGATAGCGAGTGTCGCCTCTGTAATATATGATATTCTTTATTTTGGCCACGAGATGTCTGAGCTGTTCTGTGAATGTAACTTCAGTTGCGATTTCAGAATCGGCTAGGTCGAACATCTGAAATAAAAGATAGGCATACCTACATGAGTCAAACAAAATACATAACTGTGTCCCTTTTTGTGCACAGTCCCAATATCAAAGAATGAGGTAAACCTCTTTAAGGCTTGGTATTTCTTNTGATTCTAGTGTACTTACATGTACATGTTTCGGCTCTCTTTTCGCGTATCGATGTCCGGATACACCTCTGGCTGCTAATCTCTGGTTCAGGATTCTCGAAGCGCGGCTTGATAGCCACACGGGCGGCTCGTACGGAGATCTTCTAGCGCGAAACCGACCGCGAGAATCCTACCGACTGCGCCAATTATGGATTTCACAGCCGGAGGATCGAAAAAAAAACCGATTTTTTAATACTTATTTAATTAAAATAAAATAAAAGAATTACAATAAAACTTATTTCCTAAAATATAGTATTGACCCGATCGATGTAAGATTATGAGTGGCGTGATGGCGCGCTGGCTCGGCGTCCGGTCGTCGGTCACGTTGGCGGTGCACGGGTGCGGCGTCAGCGTTTACTTGGTTTTGTGGTCTTGCGAAATTGGGCTAGCTGATGGACTTTGGTGTCAGCAGCCTTCATACTAGTGGAATACGTAATTAGCTCCTGAGATTGGCGCGTTAAACCAAACAAACAAAAACAAAGAAACAAACTTCTTTATGATATTAGTACCTATAGTTAACTTTCATTTTAATTTTATATAGGCTCTGTTTTGTTACCGAGTTCTGTTTCTAGAAGTTTGTCTTGATATCCTTTGGATCTAGAGACCTAGTTAGTCTCAATACGATTTAATATGTTCCTAGACGATATTTTACTCAAGGCATTAATCTTTGTTCGCTGAAAAGGCTGTTTTTCCTTCGGCGTAATTGCCCCTAGGATCGGAATTACTGAAGTAACTTAGCTTGATAGCAAAACCGTTCACTGAATTAAATTAATGGTAACATATTTTCACTTTGTATCCTTCCTCTATTGATAACTTCACTATATTAAGATGTGCTCATATAATTAATCTTTTACTCATATTTTATGACTTTACCTAGCTCTGTCTGCGACTTCCTAAGCGTAAAAATAGTTTAAATATTATTTCCCTTTTTTGCAACATTCCTTCAAGCTAACCCATTGATTTGCCTTTTTACTTTAGTTTGTCCATAACATTCCGTTTTTGTGAGGCACGCCCCTTAAAAGTTACTGAATGTTCCCGACAGCTCTAAATTGTCCCTATTTCCATAATATTCGAAGAACACCTTCGAAAAGCCATAGAACAAAGGAAATCCCCACCCAGAACAATACAGGCAGCACGAATGTACCTTATATTGAATTTTGTATTATGAATCGGGATTACCTCGTACGCTTTCTTCACTACCCCATGGGATATTCGCAATATTGAACTTTTAGAAATAATTTTTGGAAATCCCTATGGCTTTGAATAATATGTTAAATGTATTAAGGAATATTGACGCAAAAATATTATCTTAGATTTATTTTTATAAGACTAAAAAAAATATACAGTTGCTTTTTGTTTTGCTGGCTAAAACATTATTACTTATTTAGACATCTTCGAAGACAAAAAGGTTAAATAAAGAAAATAAGAGAAACAAATGCACTCTATAAGATGAAAGAAGGCCTTTGACACAGACTTTTAGTCGGCCGAAATCTTTATTGTTGATGTGATTGTTGATTATGGAGGTAATTGAATTTTCTTTTCCTTGTCCTGTGCCACGATGAACAAACTTCTTTATCATTAACCAGCCTTTGATGTTCCATGGCACAATTAATGATATGCAATTTAGCTTGTAGGCTAGCAAATCTACGCAGTTATTCTCATCTCTTCGCACCATTACGAAGGTTCTATTTAATCGCTTGTGATTAGAGATTATGGGATATTTCCAGAAAGTGCAATCATCCTGATGGTGGAATAACAGCGGCCATTACGAAATGTAAGAGACAAATGACAGTTTCAAACACGTTTAACTCCTGGCGTTTGGTGGTCACGTTTTGTTTTTGCTGGAACTTTAATCCTTGTTGATGTTCCTTAGAAAAGTATGTCATGAAACTGTATAAATAGGTAATCGAAAGTTGAGTACTGTCATGGAGAGCAGTTAGCTGGATAATTGAAAAGTAGTGGGTCTAAGGCTGAGTTGCACCACCTATGACCGTAACTAACGATAACCAGTGTTTTTTGTATGGAGTTTGTCAGATTTTTGACGTTTGTCAAAGTTAAAGTAAGATGGTGCAACCCAGCCTAATTTGTACCAGATTTGTAACAGCATTTTTTTCATGTAAAGTCTATGGACTATCCGTCTTCCAATTATGTACCTACAGACGGCGGATTGTTTAGCTAAGCACTTGGTAACTTACTTATCTTTACTTACAAAATATAGTAGACTGTGAAAGGTTCCTTCCACTACAGAATAAGTACTGATGCTTTGTCTTACACCTAGAACTCATTACGTATTTTGAATGTTGTTGGAGTTGTTATGTACCAATAGATTATTCGTCAGTTTATGACTCTCAACACAGATAAGATCTTATGTATTTTTATACAAAAAACTACATCTATTTCCACTTCATTTAATTAACTAAACCCTTATCTGTCACGGACAATGATTTGGTGAATAAATATTTATCTTTTGCTTTGAATTATTTTATGGCTTCGTAAATTCGAGAATATAAAATGATAGGCCTTCATAAATATTTGGCTACGTATCAGCTGTTCAGCATTAAATCAAACATGTCTGCGGCATGTGCTACAGACATAATTTAAAATATTTTTGAATAAATTCCAACGAATCCCAACTCATTTTGGGCACAAAACAATGTTGGCGGTGTTGGCTTGGCACACGTATATTTCTATTTGACCACATGGTTATTTTAGGGCAAAGTTTAAGTTTAGTAAGAGGACTAGCCAACAAACAGTAATTTTAATGTACCTGATAAAATTACCAGTGTGCTTACCATGAGTTTACGTTAGGTGTGCTCGCTAGCGACTGCGTAAAAAAATGACATTAATTGTATGACATATTGTGCAGCGCCCCTAGCGGCTACTTTCAAGAAACAAAATCTTCATAGAGATTTTTGACGTAGGTACTCGCTAGCGAGCACACCTAACGTAAACTCATGGTAGGTACCTACACTGGCCTTCTTTTTTATCCTTTCCTATAAACTCGTTAAGACCGATTAAGTATACCTATACAGTCCGATTAAACTATCGGCTGACATTATTGTCAATATGTAGTTCGCGGGGACACCTACACTTTGCAATTATTTATTTATTTATTTTATTTATTTATTTAGGACAACCAACAAGACAGACACAAGTACAAGCAGAGGGGTCTACATACATATTTTTTAGGACTAGGTGCTATCTTAATTACAGGCTGCCACGAATTATTGCAGATTGGTTTACTCAAATTCAGTAATAGAAAGTTCAGTATCAATGTTTTTGGCCTTGTTGGTTTCAAGATTACCAGCGTCTATTGGCACTAGACAGATATAACAGTCAATGAGGAATCGTCATTTTATGGCTGCTGTATTACAAGACCGTCGACAGTTAACATTTTTATGGTAGGTACTCAAAGAAATATGAATTAAAAAACGAGACATCTGAGATAAGAAGACATAAAAATTATTAGACATTTAATTAAAGTTTAATCACACTTTTTGTGTTATCTGGCAACCGTCAGTATTTATTTATTTATTATAATTGGATTTTCCGTAATAAAAAAGTGACTTCAAGATAACACGATTCTTACGCAAGGACAGCTACAATTTCTATAAGATAGGTATAGGTGTTGCGTAAGATATAATTAGGTATAGCCTGACCAGGAACATAAAAACCCTGGCATAGAGGCGCTTCAATTGCATTTGATAGTGCAACACTGAGTACAGTCGTACCTGTGTTAAATTAATAGGGTAAATTTATGTATCAGGATTCAGGATTACGGGCTAATTTGATATTTTCGAACGAAAAATATTATTTAAGGTAACCTGGTTTAAATAAATTAAATGAAACCATCAATCGAGCTAGTAGGGTATATTTTATTATTCATCAATAATCAAATTCAGAACTTGAATATTCAACTGTAATGTCTGCTCCTGAACGCTTCAAACTCGGTACTTCTTTCCCAATTCCATAAAATTCAAAACTTAGAAAGTAACAAAAAACTTTAAAATGGGTAGTTGAAACAGACTACAGCTAATTTTCATAGTAGACTGTACTATACGATAAACATGTCAGTCAATTTGACAACCTTTGTCGGAAACATTATTCAATGAAAATATTGTCTGAACCCTTAGTATTTCTCTTCGACAAATACAATAACACACCGTGAACCACTTTTCTTTCACGACTATAAAAAGATTTTAGCAATTTAATTCACAAAATCAATTGCACACATTTAAAATAAAGTTTGTTTACACTTTGACAACAATAGACTGACATGCAAGGTGACATGTCAATGAAGTTTTCAGTTACTGTTGCCATTAAAATAAATTAGTACCATTAGTTTTCCGCAACATGGCGAGGGTTTTTATGTTCCTGGTTAGGCTATAGTTAGGTTAAACAAAAACAACAAAGTAGGTAAGAACTTTTTAGAAGAAGTAGGTCTGCTACCTCCATTCTCCAACCAGAATGATCAGAGTTCGTAGGAGGACGTCGCACATTTATCAACCCGGAAAGGATCGTAAACGTATCAACTCGAGGCGGTCAGTATTATTTGTATGAAACTCCATACTGAAACACACACTTATCCGCACCGTAATGTAAACGCCTGGCCTCGCAATGAGGGTTTTCGCGATTGAAAAATCCGCCAGATGGCAGTACGTAGACGCGAGGTCCCAATGCTGCATGATTGGTCGATTTTGACATTTCTGTCAATGTCATGTCAAAAATAACCAATTATGCAGCATTTGGACCTCGCGTCTACGTACTGCCATCTGGCGGGTTTTTCATACGCGAAAACCCTCATTGACAGCGCGCGAAAGGCAATGACAGCTCGCGATACGGTGTTGATCCCTTTCCGATTTGATATGTCTGCTAGGAGCTTAAATTCTCCATTTGCCTCTAGTAA